AAGTATTATTTGATTATTTTTTTTTTTTTTTGAGATTGGCACCTGAGCTACCATCTGTTTTTTTTTCCCCTTCTTCTCTCCAAAGCCCGCCAGTACATAGTTGTATATTCTAGTTGTTCTATGTGGGACGCCACCTCAGCATGGCCTGATGAGCAGTGCTAGGTCCATGCCCAGGATCCGAACCAGCGAAACCCTGGGCCACCAAAGCGGAGCATATGAACTTAACCACTTGGCCATGGGGCTGGCCCCTGATTTTTTTTAAAAAAATGGATGCATGTATTGACTCTAAAAATTTTTAGAGAAAAGTATTAATAGTTTTGTAAAGCAGTTTAGTGATATGATACTTTTTGATTATATCTGTGTAAAAATACTGAGAGAAAATTGACCAAAAGGCTAACATGAGTGGTGGGATTAAGAGTGATTTTGCCCTTTTCTCCATTTTCCAATTTTTTTGTAAAATGGCTGTTACTTTCATAATTTTTTACATTTATAAATAAGCCATTAGTAGGATAATTAATGTGATGTCCTAAAAAGAAGTGAAAAGTAGCTTTGATTTAAAGTCAGCCCCCAGAGGCCGGTCCGGTGGTGCAGCAGTTAAGTGCACACATTCCACTTCAGCGGCCCGGGGTTCACTGGTTCGGATCCCGGGTGCGGACATGGCACCGCTTAGCAAGCCATGCTGTGGTAGGCATCCCACATATAAAGTAGAGGAAGATGGGCACAGATGTTAGCTCAGGGCCAATCTTCCTCAGCAAAAAGAGGAGGATTGGCATATGTTAGCTCAGGGCTAATCTTCCTAAAAATAAATAAATAAATAAATAAATAAAGTCATCCCCCAGTGGGCAAATGTGAAGGTGCTGCTCCTTGCTCAAGGTGAAGTGCTGACCAGTCGCAGTTCCCTCTCGGCTTTGTGGATCCCTTCTACTGGCTGAAGGTGTGCGTTCTCTGACAGTTCTCATTACTCAGGGCCTAAGTGGTTTCTTGACTCATCCTGGCCATCGTAGGACACTGAGGCCTTGCAATTCGAAACTGATCTGTGTTCATTGGCTTTTATCCTTGGATTCAGGTATTCCTGGGAGATGGAAGTGTGAAGAATTTAGTCCTATGGCCCTGTGACCTCCCCAGATCTTGGAGGCGAGGAGTGGGTGGTTGGCGAATCGTCCCTCCTTGGTTAGACCCCGGGACTTCTTGAGGTTTCCTGAAAGCCGGTTGAATTGAGGAGTGAGTCTTAGCCTATTTAGTTCCTTAGATCTGTGCTTTCAAACCTTTAAAATAGAAAGGTGGATTGGAGCTTAATGGAGACAGTTGTACACTTCCACTGAAAATTTATATTTCATTTCAATCCATGAAAATGGAAAAGTGTGATTTCTAAGTGGTTTTCTCCTTGCCCCTTGGGCACTGCATTGCTGGTTAGCACAAGGTTGGCGGGGAGAGGGAGAAGGGAAATTTTGAGCAAACATTGTCGTCTCCTAGGTAGTAGATGGCCCAGTTCCATTAATGACTTAAGCAAAAGGTTAGAAATTTCTCTCACTTGATTATAGTTTGTTGAAAGTGGGCTCTCTGCCTGCCTAGACTCGGTCATTTGGCCTCTTCTCTCGAGGGGCTTTTCTGCAGGACAGTCTGCCCTGTCTGCTGAGTTACAGGTTTCCTGCACCGTAGTGCTTTTCATAAGATAATAGGATTTGCCTTCCAGCTCTCAGTGCTCTGCCTGCTGGGGGCATCGTGAAACTGTTGGTACTGCTTTGTGGACTTCGCTCTTTCTGTGAGTCTTCATTTCTTGTTGTATTCATTTAGCAAACTTTGTCACTGTACTGTTTTCTTTCATGCTGGTATCAAGGACTTTATAGTTTAGTAGTAGAGAAAAATGTACACATTATTAATATGCAGTGCAGGATAAGGGCTATGAGAAATGTCCAGAGAAAGTACTGTAAAAACTTGAGATGACAACATTTAACTGGGGACAAGGGCAGGAGCGGGGAGGATAGGTAGAGGTCAAGGAAGGCTTCGTGGACGTGGTGGCATCAGAAGATTCATTACCATCGAATTCAGTCTTGAAAGATTTCTGCAGTAAGGAAAGGGACATGAGCAAAGGCAGGGAAGTTAAAGATCTGTTTGCAAGACACCAAGGACTCCAGTTTTACCAGCTGGATTGGAGAGGAATCAAGGGAAACAAGGCTGGAAAAGTACATTGGGCTGGATTTGTAGGGCCTGGAATGCCGGGCCAAAGGGTTGGTGCTTCTCAGTGACTACTCGGGGAAGCCAAACGCTTTTAATAAAATGAGAATTAAATTTGGGCTCTATGAAGAATAATGTGCACTGTCATTGTAAACTGGACAGGGGAGGGGCTGGCAGCAAGGAGACCCATTTATTAAAAGTACCAAGTCTTTGACTCGCAGCAGCGGGAATGGAAATGAAGAGGCTTAAAATGTGGTCATTTGTTGCCTCTGTGTCTGTCCTTCTCTGTAGCATCCCTGCCAGCTGGAGCCCTGGCATCTGCATGTGACACTGTGGCCATGACTGTCCCAAGGAAGCAGGCTCGCCAGGACCTCTCTTTCTCCAAGAGAACAGATTGTACCCAAAGTCAGGGTGACCACATCTTAGAGTTCTTCCCTTGACTGCCTCCCTGGGTGTTCACTGAGGCACCTATACCAAGCAGATGGGCACCACTCTCAGGGTTGTCAGATTTAGCAAATAAAAATCCTGGGTGCCAGTTAGATTAGAATTTCAGATCGTGGATAATTTTTTTTAGTATAAATATGTCCCATGAAATATTTGGTTTACCTGAAATTCCAATTTAACTGTGTGTCCTGTGTTTAACCTGACAGTCCAAACCATTCCTCACTCTTCTCTGCTCCTGGCCCTGGGCTCAGCTTCCTCCTCTCCCATCTCCCACCTGTTTCCTCCCAAGTTAGCCATCTAGTAGGTTCAGAATCCTGTAGAGTATGTGCTGCCCAGGAGGGGTCAGCCTAGTAGTTTGGGGGATACGTGTCCCAACTCAGTGCCAGGATTTGGTACCTGTGTACAGCATTAGGTGTAGTGCTCCTCTGTCTAACCAGACAGAGAGGGGGACAGGAAGAAAGACCTTGTGTTTCAACGCCAAAGGGGACAGGAGAGCATCAGGCCCAGTGTCTCAGAATGTACCTGGGGCCCGGAGATGGTATCCCTGAAATTCGGCTCCTCCTGTGCCTCACCTCCTCCTCTTTCCAGTTCCACTCCTAGCCCACGCACATCCCACAAAGGTACTTGGAGCTCTTGGGCCCAGACATACTCTGTTTCTAAGCTCATACAGTTCCATTTGCCTAAAACAGCCTTTCCACATTCTTTACCCACTAGCACCTCTTCTTCCCTTCCCTTTGCTCTCTCCCAGCATGGGTCAAGAACCCGTACTCTGGGTCCCCAGGAACCCTGAGCAAACCTCTTTTATAACCTTTTCCACACTTAATTGATTCCATCTGTTACTGGTGTGGCTCTCCCATGAAAATGTGGGCTTCCTAAGAACCAGACCCTGCTTCATCAGTGTTCCCAGTGCCTACCACCATTCCTGAACCTGGTAGGTACTCAATAAATACGTACTCAATGAACAGCAGGGCTCTTTGGAAGCCTCACTGCCACCTTAAACCCCCAGTTGTGTTCCTCAGGGAGCACCCAGCTCCAGCTTCCTCCCCGCCCAGTGTACATACCTGGATGCTTCTCCACACTTCAAGGCTGAGAGGACTTTTCAGCGCTTTTTATTAGCATTAACAAAAACCTTTCTGGAAAGTCTCAGCCCTGGGCTTACCAGTCCCCACACCTTCCATATGCCCAGACTAGTAAGACCCTGCATATCCTGGCATGAACCAAAGGCATGGGCTGGACCCTCTCACCCTTGTCCCATGCCCTCCAGCTCCAGGTGCTGCTCCAAGCCTGGACAGGTGCTTCAGGTTGGGTGGTTCCCTCCACACAACCTTCTGTGCCTTCTAGAACAATCCTTCTTGCTGGCATCAAATGCCTTTATCAAGCCATTTGTTGGCTGCGTTATTAGGGCTTGAGGGAATGAATAAAGAGAATTTTGCTGCCTGCCTGTCCCTCTGTGGTGGGGGGCAAATCTAAGAAACCTTCCACCTGGACACACAGAGTCAACAAAAACACGGATGGTATGTTCTGTAAGGGGTAGGTGGCCCTCCACTGCGTGGTCCGTGGGAAAGGAGCTTTGGGGGTGTCTTGGCTATTACATGCAGAGCAGAAGAGAGACACAAAGATTGGGAGGATGCCAGAAGGACAGACAGAGCCCCCAAATCGCAGGGTTAGTCGGGACATAAACAGCCCCAGCTGCTGCAGGCCCTCATTTGTGAGACTCTTGAGGGTAGGCAGGGCTGAGAGGAAGAGTCTCTTCAGATGCTTGTAATAGGTGCTCCTTCCCACACGCTTACTTGTATGGTGCTGGGAAACGTCTCTGGGAGGAGGTAGGTAGACAGGACAGTAACTATCTGAGTCTGTAGTCCAGAGGGATTCCTTGTGACCTGGGCTTTCAGCTCCAAAGCAGCAGCCCCTGGCTCTCAGCCTGGAGCCCCAGCCCTGCTTCTGGGCCAGGTGAGGCCCCCAGGAATTGGAGGGCAGATCTGGGCAGCAGAGAACCCCGCAGGAAGTTCTGGCAAGGCTCCTCCTACTCTTGTTTGCAAGCCTTTGCCTGTGATCAGTGGTTTGGCCTGGGAAGCCTCAGGGAGGGCTCAGAGAACCAAGCTGCTGATCAAGGCCTCCAGTGGTCACCATGGCAGACAGTTGACTGCTGAGGGCCCTTTTGATCTGTGGTTCTTGCTCTTCAGGCTGGCTTGGTACCTGGGTATATGGGAAGGATCCAGTTGCTGAGATCCACCCTTATCTGTGGACCTCTTCTGGTGTCCCAATGGAACTAGCACCCCAGAGCAGAGCCCTCGGGGGATTTTGTGGCTAACTTCTTGCTGGGAAGTAAGGGGCCTAACTCTCCGCTCCTGGCCCACCCAACGTGGGGGCTCTCCCTGCAGGTATCTGAAGGAATTCCGCACGGAGCAGTGCCCACTCTTTGTGCAACACAAATGCACTCAGCATCGGCCCTACACCTGCTTCCACTGGCACTTCGTGAACCAGCGGCGCCGCCGGTCCATCCGCCGTCGGGACGGCACCTTCAACTATAGCCCCGACGTCTACTGCACCAAGTACGACGAGGCCACGGGCCTCTGCCCGGAGGGCGACGAGTGAGTGCCCCCCAGCCAGCCCTCAGAGACCATGTCTCCTGGGTCAGATGCCCTCAGAATAGGCCAGGCAGAGTCTGAGGAGCCAGGCAGAGGCTGCATTTGGGGGCACTCTTGTAGCCTGGCTCATCTTCTTATGGCCTGAACTTGGGCTCAGATCCTGCCAGCCTCTGGGAGAGGCCCTTTCTTCTTTCTCCACATTTGGGAAACCCTACACAGGCCTTTCTTCTGCCAAGCCTAAGGGCCACATCTGAACCAAAGTGGCTCCCTGGGCCTTCTGTCATGGTCGCCTGCAGGTCACAAGGACCCACCCCGCCAACACCCACTCTATCCCAGGCAGTTTCCACCAAGGCTGGCTGTTTAGTGACATAGAGCCTCTCTAGTTTCCCATTTGCTGGCCCTATTTTACCATACAGCTCTGTGGAGAGCCAGGGCACAACACAAATGACAAACATGAAGTGGCAAACCTAGGATGTTACTGAGAGGGGACATTCATTGACCCTGTGTATCATTTTTTTTTTAAATAGTTGTGCAACCAAGCTGAAGTCCTTTTTCTTTTCTTTTTCGTTTTTTAAAGATTCTATTTTTCCTTCTTCTTCCCAAAGACTCCCGGTATATAGTTGTGTATATTTTTAGTTGTGGGTCCTTCTAGTTGTGGCACATGGGACGCCGCCTCAGCATGGCTTGATAAGCGGTGCCATGTCCAGCCCAGCATCCGAACCGGCAAAACCCTGGCCTGCCGAAGCGGAGCGTGAGAACTTAACCACTTGGCCATGGGGTCGGCCCCCTGCTCATCATTTGTTTCAACCTTGCATAGGTCGTGATGGAAGGCACTGCGGGGGTTCTGTGGGTACAGAACTGTCCCTGCACCAGGGCTTCTCTCTCCCAGAGGTCAAAGGCTTGCTGACCCCGCCCCGTCCCCCCAGTCTCAGGAAGCACTCGGGGCACATGGGGTACACCTATATTTGAGCAGCCATTTGCTTCTCAAGGAGCCCTGAGCTGGCCAGCATTTGTCTCCTAGGAGTGTCCCCCTCTGGAGCCTCTCTTCAGGACAGCCCAGGCCCCTGGCTGAGCAGCCTTCGAGAGAACCTGCTGAGCAGGCTGAAGTGGGAATGCCAGGCCCTATTGGGCTCCCTTTAGGCTACAGCACCTGACTGGCAGTGGGAGAGTGGTTCTATTACTGCAGCAGGGCCCATCACTGCTTACCTCCTTGACCCTCCATCAGTGCAGCCTCTGGGGCATAGGGAGAGCCTTAAACAGGTAGGGGAGGGGTGGAGGCTGGTAGCCCAGGCTGCAGGGGGCAAAGGTGAGTGACCCCCCCGCTGCCATGTTTCAGGTGCCCATTCCTGCACAGGACCACAGGAGACACTGAGCGCAGGTACCACCTGCGCTACTACAAAACTGGAATCTGCATCCACGAGACAGACTCAAAAGGCAACTGCACCAAAAACGGCCTGCACTGTGCTTTTGCCCACGGGCCCCATGACCTCCGCTCCCCTGTCTATGACATCAGGTGGGTTGGAGGCTGTGCTGGGCTGATGGTTGTGGGCCGGGGTTGGGGCCTGGCTGCTACCATGATGAGTACCACAGATGGAATGCAAGGCTGGCACAGTGGTTCCTTCCCCCTCATGCCCCCTCGCCGCCCTCTCCTCTCCTCCCAGGGAGCTCCAGGCCATGGAGGCCTTGCAGAACGGCCAGACCACAGTAGAGGGCAGCATAGAGGGCCAGTCAGCTGGGGCCGCGAGCCATGCCATGATAGAAAAAATCCTCAGTGAGGAGCCGCGGTGGCAAGGTAAAGGTGGCCACACAAATGGCCTTGCCCTCTCCTGCCAGATGTCTGTCCTCTCCCTCTCCTGCCTGTAGCTTCCCTAAGGACTTGGCTTACCACCACCTACTGCCTTCTCCAACCCAAGCCACCACCTCAGGTCAGCTGGGAGGCACTCGCCCCCTCATCCCAGCTTACATCCAGCCAACCACAGCTCTGTCATTCGGGGCACTTCTGGAGGAGTTTTCCCAGATACACCTTGCCCTGCTCCCATCACCCCAGGGGCTCCCCAGATTCCTCAGGGGGCTTTCACACATATGTCCTCATGCATGTACACAAGTACACATACATGTGTTCTCAACCCCTCCAAGGGTGCCCTTTTTACCCTGTGAGCTGTGAATATCTCCAGGGAGGGACAGTGTCTTCCTTATCTCTCTCCTGGGTCTTAGTCTCAGCTTTGACCCATGAGGAGGTGGCCTTGCTCATATCTCTCCCAGGAGCCTCAGCTCCTGGACTCCTTCCTGGTGGCTTCTCCTTCCCCTTCCCTGTCCCCACCCACCTGACCCCTGCCTCTGGCCTCCTGTGCAGAGACTGCTTATGTGCTGGGAAACTATAAGACGGAGCCGTGCAAGAAACCTCCGCGGCTGTGCCGCCAGGGTTATGCCTGTCCCTACTACCACAACAGCAAGGACCGGCGGCGGAGCCCCCGGAAACACAAATACAGGTCCTTTGGCTCAAACAGGCCAGCTGTGGGAGAGAGGGGTGTCAGGGAAGGGATCACAGCGGAGGCTACTTCCACTGTGTTCGCAGGGAGGCAGGGCGCCAGCCCTGGGGCTTACAGGATCTCAGGGCCCAGGTACAAGGGAGGGAATAGTCAGGATAACTGAACGATGGGGGGCCTAGCTGGATCCTCTTCTGGCACGAAATGAGGATCTTGGGTCAGACGATCTCTGAGGCCCTCCCTGCCACTCCCTACTCCCACCCCATTCTGATTCTGAGCGACATCTGCTAGGGCCAAGCCATGGTGTGGAAAGTGTGGTTGTGGCTAGCACCTGGCTCTCCTTGGGCTACATAGTGCTTGGTGGGAGGACCTGGCTGAAGAGAACAAAATAATGTCCTCCTTGGTGATGCAGCCTGGTTGGGCCAGAGAAGCAGTGCCTGGCTTCTGGTCCCAGTAAGGCCCTCACTCTGCAACTGATCTTTTCTATTTCTGAGCCTCGCCTTGCGGGGCAGGGAGACCAGAGAGGGGCCCTGAACAGAGATGTAGTTGGCATTCCCCAGATCCTAATCTTTCCCTCTGTTGCATCCATCTGACCCCACTCTCTCATTGGGCCAGGTCGTCTCCATGTCCGAACGTAAAACACGGGGATGAGTGGGGAGACCCTGGCAAATGTGAGAATGGAGACTCCTGCCAGTACTGCCACACCCGCACAGAGCAGCAGTTCCACCCGGAGGTGGGTCTTAAAGCAGGGGCTAGGGCTGGGACCTTTTGAGGGTGCAGGTGGCTTAACATATCCTCTTTGGAAGCAAGGAGAAAGGAAGGGAGGGTCTGGGCAGATGTTGGCAGAGTCTGTCCTGACACCATCCTGCAAAACGGATTCATAGCCACATGCTCCCCCTCAGGCAGTGCCTAAAGGAGCTCCGCACCCTAATTAGGCAACTTTCCGTGTTCTGAGCCCACCCTCACCATGCATCCCTCTGCTCCCAGTTTTGTTTCCCCCAGGACTCCTTAAAGGGAGGGCATGGACTGGGCATGGTGACCTGGTCATTCTGGGCTTTGTACCACTCATGGTGCTTACAATCCAGTGACATAGGATTTGAAAAATAAGAAAGCCCCTCAGGTTGTTCTGTTCCAGCTCAGAGCCTAGGTACCAGCCACATCCGTGACAGTTCCCCAGCTTACTGGCCTCATGTATATGGCCCTGAGCCATATCAGTGTGCTGAGATCTTATGTAGGGTACATAGAGGCACATGCTGTCCCTGCTCCTGGTTCCATGGAGGCCAGGACACCCTGAGATGGACACATGGCTAGAGACTATCTTTATGGGGGCTCCAGACAACAGGGTGGAAAGTTAGACCTAGCATAGTTCCCAGCCCAGGGTGCCCCAGGGAGGGCGCGTGCTGCCTGTGATCTTGGCTCCCTTAATGGCCAGAGGCATATTTGGAGGTCACAGCACTGGCCAAGACCCCTGGAGAGCGGCGTGGAGAAGATCCCTTTTGAGGGTTGGGTTGTGGCTGGTTGGACCTGTGACCCCAGAAGGGAGGGCTTCCTCAGTACGGGGGTGTAATGTCTGCTTCAGGAATCTGAGTAAGAAGTTGGTAGGACAAGAGACTTAGGGAAGAGGCATGGGATGGGGAAGAGAAAGAGGAGATTACTAAGCTAACCCACCCATGCTGAAGGCACCATGCCTGCCTGTCCCTCTCTGACCAAGCCTGACCTGCCTCTGCTCTGCCCTTACAGATCTATAAATCCACCAAATGCAACGACATGCAGCAGTCGGGCAGCTGTCCCCGAGGACCTTTCTGCGCCTTCGCCCACGTAGAACGTATGCTATTCCTATTGCCCTGGGGCAGTACCCTCTCCACTCTCTTCCCCTCCCCTCAGCGACTGCTCAGGCTCAAGTCAGGGGAATGGCCACTTGTCTGTCAGCCAGCAGCAGGTCCTGTCCCCATTGGAAGTTCTATTCCCACCCCACCTCTCTCGAACTGGCCTCAAAGCCCTGGAACTTCTAGGTCATGAAACAGAGCAGGGACTATGGCCCTGGTCAGGCACTGACAGTCCCAGGCAAGGTGAGGCACCCTCCCAGAACCAACTAACCAGATCCCAGCAGCCACCACGTGCCACACCCATGGCAGACATCACTAATTGAACACAGCATTCTGCCTTGCTGAGCCCAGTGGAGAGCAGAGCTATCCAATCAATATATAATGCCCCTTGTGTCATTTTAGATTTTTCTAGTAACCATATTAAAAAGAGGCAAAAGAAACAGGTAAAATTAATTCTAACAATGTATGTTTACTTAACCCGATATAAAATGGTGTCCTTTCAAAAATAATCAATATAAAAAGTCATCAAGATGTTTTACCTTTTTTTTCAAGCTAAGTCTTTGAAATCTGGTGTGTATTTGAACAGCTGCAGCACATTTCAGTTCAGACCAGCCATGTTCCAAGTGCTCACTAGTGGCTGCTGTGTCGGACAGTGCAGCTCTCCATCTCAACATTGCCTTCCAGGCCACCACTGCCAATCTCAGGGGTGGAGCTCAAGTTAAAACCTATGTCCACCCCAAGCTCTGGTTGTACTTAACCTCTTTCCAGGCTCAGGCCTTATCTCTGGAATTTGAGTGAAAAATAAACTGAGGCCCCTGGGAAGGGGAATCTTATACTTGGCAGAGAGATGGTCCTCAGCTGTGGGACCACCGATTGAGGCAGCCCAGAAAAGTAAGTAATGGCCTAGGCTTTGAAGTCACACAGATTGGGGTTCAGATCCCAGCTCTTCTGTTTCCTAGCTTTCTTACCTTGACACATTTACCTTACCTCTCTGAGCCTCAGTTTCCTTATCTGTAAAATGGAGAACATGCCATTACTTATACCTTCCAGTCATTGTGAAGATTCACAATTAATACAAAATGCCTGACATACAGTAAGTGTGCAGTACCTGACGGTAATAGAAATAAGGTAGGAGCCTCCCCTTTATGTATGCGGGGATGCATGGTCTCCTTTGAAAGAGACCCAAATGCATTTTTGGAGGGACAGCCTGCTGACACCCTGCCCTTGTCTCTTGCAGAGCCACCCCTCAGTGACGACCTGCAGCCCTCCTCATCTGTGTCCAGCCCCACCCAGCCGGGTCCCGTCTTGTATATGCCATCTGCTGCCGGAGACTCGGTGCCCGTGAGCCCCTCCAGCCCGCATGCCCCTGACCTCAGCGCCGTACGTGCCTGTCCAGGGGGTGGGTGGGCACCTTGCCTACCCAGGAGCCAACACCTGCCTCTCATGCCCCTGCACCCTCTCAGCCTGTGTCTGGAGAGGAGGCCCTGGTATTTGGCCTTGGGCCAAGGGGTTCTGCCCTTTCTGCCCCAAGGTTCTTCTCTCTGTCCAAAGCTTGTGGTAGGTGAGGGGTGGTGCTCCCAGAGCCTGTGTTAGTCAGTCTGGGTAGAGCTGGTAGAAGGGACAAAAGCCTTCTCTCACCCCCCTGACACGCATACAGAGAATTCCCTCATGGGGTTCTGGGTCCCTGGGTGATTGTTGCTGCCCATTGGCGGATGAAAATGGAACAGAGCCCCTTGCTGAGGAATCTCCCTCCGAGGAGGGGACGGAGGATGGGCCACGCCCCAGCCTGCGTTTTGCCTACCAGCCCACTCTTCCTTCTCTGCAGCTCCTCTGTAGAAACAGCAGCCTAGGCAGCCCATCTAACCTCTGTGGTTCCCCGCCGGGCTCCATCAGGAAGCCCCCAAACCTGGAAGGCATTGTCTTCCCTGGGGAGTCTGGCCTCGCCCCTGGCAGCTATAAGAAGGCTCCTGGCTTCGAGAGGGAGGACCAGGTGGGAGCTGAGTACCTGAAAAATTTCAAATGCCAGGTAAGGGATGAGAGGGGCAGCCTAGTGAGGTTAGCCTTCTCCTTTTTTGGGCAAGAGAAGTCCTGGAGGGCTGTCCCAGTCCAGCTAGGGGAGAATGATTGGGAGCTAGGAAGCCCCTGTCCTCGTCTCTTCAAAGCTGAGCCAAGTGAGTCAGGCCATCCCATTGTACAGATGAAGACAGGAAGATAGCAAGGCTAGAGAGCCTGAGCACCTCACCCAGTGTCAGAGCCAGTTAATAGAGGAGCAGGGATTCCTGCCTTGGTCTTCTGACCCCACATCTGGTCTTTTCCTGTCCTGTGCTGTCTTGATGGAGTGGCAGGGCCTTGGGGAGCAGGACAGAGGGGTCGCTAACTGGGCTTATGTGAAGCTTAGAGTTACCAAGAGGAGAGGAGCAGCTCCCTTGGTTCCTAGGGGAGGGAAAGGAGTAGGGGTGGGGAGGGGAATGAGGTACATGTGTGTGAAGGGGGATTGCATGACAGGTGTCTAACGTCTCCCTGCCCCCGGTACCTGCAGCCTCAGTGAGCCATGGCAGGTTGATGCTTAGGAGGACTCTTAGACTCAGGGCCCTCCCTAGCACCACTCTCATCTTCTGCTCCTCATTTTTCTCTCTCAGGCCAAGTTAAAACCCCACTCACTAGAGCCCAGGAGTCAGGAGCAGCCTCTGCTTCAGCCCAAACAGGTATAGAGCTCTCAGTCTCCTTCCTCCTCTTCTGGCACCCGCTGTGGACAGGCTAAGCCCAGAACCCCAGGAGGCTTCAGGGAATAGGGGACACTGCTTTTCCCACAAGCTGAGGGCAGGACTAACGTGGGGCCCCAGCCCCAAATCCAGAGTGGGCGGGGGTCAGGTCCTAGAGCTCCTCCTCCTGGAATCACTCATCTGTCAGTCAAAGAAAATACTTATTGGGGCCGGCCCCGTGGCTGAGTGGTTAAGTCCTCACTCTCCGCTTCGGCGACCCAGGGTTCGGATCCTGGGTACGGATATGGCACCGCTCATTAGGCCATGTTGAAGAGGCATCCCACATGCCACAACTAGAAGGACCCACAACTAAAAATATACAACTATGTACTGGGGGGATTTGGGGAGGAAAAAAAAAAAGAAAAAAAATACTTATTGAGGTCTCTACTGTGCCAGGCACTGGACTCACTTCTCCCTTCCTGTACTCTGGGACTTTAGGGGTGAGTGGGTCCTACAGCCTCCAAGCCACACCTCTCCAGCTCCAGCCTCTCAACAAGATGTTGAGAGGGTGGGGCCCCATCTGGGCATGGAGGCAACTGGCCGAGAGCTGGGATGCACCATTTCCTTCTGCCCCCCCCAGCCCCTATCTCCAACACCAGCCATGGCCTCCGTGGGCAGGCATCCCAATGCCTCTCCTCACTCTCTCGTTACAGGACATGCTGGGCATCCTCCCTGTGGGCAGCCCCCTGACCTCAAGCATCTCTTCTAGTATCACCTCCAGCCTGGCAGCTACTCCCCCTAGCCCTGCTGGCACCAGCAGTGTCCCTGGCATGAATGCAAATGCTCTGCCGTTCTACCCCACCAGCGACACAGTAGAGTCGGTCATAGGTAATTAGGCCATTTTCTCTTGCCAAGTCCAGGACTGGGTCTGGAGTTAGGTACTAGGTCTCTGGAGTGAGACTCAAACCAGCATACTGGTCACTTTAGACATCTGTTTTGGGAGAGTCAGAGGGTGGGCACTCTGGGTCCTTTGAGCTAAAGGGAAAATGAGCCCAAGGTATAGGGCCCAGACTAGCCCTTATAGCAAATTAGCCCTTCAGTTTGCTCTTTTGTGCAAATTAGAAAGAGATGCCTTTTCCCCTGGACAAGTGCAGTCTGATTCCACAACATATGTCATTCAGGCCCCACTTATCTTCTCCTTAGGTATATTTGTGCAGTGAACAACCTGCATAACTCTACTCAGAGTTCCTGGTCATTAGAAGCCACTGCCCTTCTCTTTTAGCAGTCATTTATGGGTGCCACCTTGTGCCAAGTCCTTGTGCAGGCACTGGGGGTGACAGAGATGAAGACATGCTGCTGCTGCTCTCAAGGAGGGACACTGTTCTCACCTTCCCAGTCCAGTTCAGCAGAGGGAAGGGGACATTTGTCGAGCACCTACTATGCACTAGCCCCTGAAGGCCCAGAGACCTGCCTGCCCTCAGCGAGCTTAGGGGCGAGACATGCGAGCTGTAACATCAGGAGACAAGACCTCTTTTAGAGGCAGGGACTAAGACTCAGTTCCCGCTGGGGCTATCAAAGAAGGCTTCAGAAAGGAGAGCCATTTGCGTGGGACTTGGCTAGGCAGACAGCATGGACAGAGGGGAGCCCAAGCACAGGCAGAGGCTTGAGAGCACGCAGGTCCAGTGGGACTGAGTGTGAAGAGGAGGCGGGGCAGGTGATGAGGCAGTAAAGGGCAGGTGGGTCCGGGAAGCAAGGCCTGGAACCTCGGGGTTGTGTGGCCCCTCGGGAGGCTCACACCCCAATCACTCTGTCCCTAGAGTCTGCCCTAGATGACCTGGACCTGAATGAGTTTGGGGTCGCCGCCCTAGAGAAGACTTTTGACAACAGCACAGTGCCCCACCCGGCCAGCATCACAATCGGTACTGGGCGATGGGTGGGCAGGGTGGCATGGGAGGGCTCCTAGGGGTCCAGCCTGGCCCAGGGTGGGCAGACGAGCAGTCCCCTGCTCCATGTGGCCCCACATGGCTTGCCCTGCCCTCGCTCACTTGCCCTCTGGGGCCTCTCTTGCAGGCGGCAGTTTGCTGCAGAGCTCTGCACCTGTCAACATCCCTGGCTCCTTGGGCAGCTCTGCCTCCTTCCACTCAGCATCCCCATCCCCTCCTGTCAGCCTCTCTTCACATTTCCTGCAGCAGCCCCAGGGCCATCTGAGCCAGTCAGAAAACACCTTTTTGGGGACCTCAGCATCACATGGATCTTTGGGTAAGAGGGGTTTTGGCTCTCTGAGACTTGGAGCAGGAACCTAGGCTTTTGGAAAGTGCTTTTAGCTGCCTTGTCCATGGCTAGAGGCAGAGCAGGGCAGAGGTTAGAGTGGGGGCTGTGGGCTGAAAGGTGGCTCAGGTCCTTGTTCCACGATTCCCTTAGCTGTGTGAACCCGGACAAGTGACTTAACTCCTCTGCCTTAGTCCCATGTGCTGTACAATGGGTATAATGGCAGCACCCGCCTCATAAGGTGGTTGTGAGGCTTGAACAGAATAACATGAGTGAAGTGCTAGGCCCAGGGCTAGTGCACCGTGAGAAGCAGTGACTTCAGAGTCTCCAGGGCCTTGGTCTGCTCTTCATGCCAGTGTGGTGGTTCTGCCCAGTCACCCGGAGCTCCCAGAGGTGGGCTCACAATCGCCACGTTCACAGAAGGCCAAGGGAGAAGTCTGAACAGGCTCACCCCAGGCTCAGGGCCACCTTCCTGGCAGGAAGGCACCAGGGAGGCCTAGCTGCAGCCCCAACGGCTTTTTGCTGAACACAGAATTAGAGCAGTGTGGACTGGGGGTTCTGGAGGGCATGTCAAAACGCAGTAGTTAGAAGTGTGGCGTGGAGACCTGCACTCTCTACTGCCATGGGCCAGGGTGCTCATCCCCTCGTGTGGCGGCTGCTGTGAATATTCACGGAGGCAACAGACAGAAAACACTTAGCACAGGGCTCAACCTGCTGCCTCTCAATAAACAGCGGCTGCTGTCCTTACTACCCCTCCCCAGCAACTATTTAAGGAGATCAGAAATACCCTCCCCCGAGGGTGCTGGGCATCCTGGTCATGCTGAGCCTCTGAGCTACCATTTGTCGTTCTGACCAGGTTTGGGACCTTCCCTCATCTCACTCTGGAGATTAGGGCAGCACATGGATTTCTTAGCACCTTTCTAGTTTGGAGGCTGGCTGTTCTCTTTTATGTTGATGCTGTCAGCTCTAGATGCTTAGTGTTACATTTGTCTGACTTGCCCCATATTCTGGAGGCATCTTCACTATAGCCCAGCTTACTGGCCACACCTTCATTCCTTCCCCATGTGGTTACTGAGCACAGTTTATAGATACAGTGTGAGCTCAACAGTCCCTGCTGGCATGGAGCCATAGTCTAGCAAGGGAGGCAGAGGTGCACAGACATTAGATCAGACTTAGAGACCGTCTCTGTGTGTGGAGTCAAAGGCTGGATGCTGGGATTCAAAATAATAGAGGGGTCCTAACCTGGATGTGGTCAAGAGGGCCCTCTCTGAGGAAGTGGCTTCTCTCCAAGAGAGGAAATGCCGTCAGTGTGGAGGAGAGATGCTCCAGTAGAGCTAGCTGCTGGGATGGTGTCATGTCGGTACAGTGATCCTGAGTTCCTGCCTCTGGGACAGGGCAAATAGGTTCATAGATAGCACACATCGCAAGATCTCCACATGGGATGACATCTGTCATATTGTAGATGCACTTGTGTTGGTTGGAGGACAGACTGTCTTAAATCCATTTAGTTCTGGAACATCCTGGCTCGACGAATGGGAAAGGGAGCAGGAAAGAAGTCATTAGAATGATGTGTGAGCAGAGTGAGGCCAGAGGTAGATATGGGTCCCCCTCCGGAATACAGGGGCTGCCCTGAGGGCCACAGCACAGGGGCACATAGTGTTAGTAAGCATCTGTTGAATGGGTGAGCGAGTCGAGGGTTAGGGGAACAAGCATGCAGCTTCGCTGATTGGGGAAAGTAGGCCTTTGGAGTCAGACGCCCTGCCTGTGCACAGGTTCCACCACTTACTGTTTTGTGTGATTCTTGGCAACATGTTTTATCTCAGTTTCCTTGTCGTAAAACAAGGGGCATGGACCCAGGCCTCCCTGAGCTCTTCCTGCTCCAGCTCTGCCATCATTTGAGGCTTTGGCCTGTGTCTTTTCTCCTGAATCTCCTGTGCCTCACATCAGGGCACAAGAAGATTCCCCTCCCTCTAGTCCGAAAGTGAAGTCACGAGCACAAATTGCCACCTTCACAGACTGCTCTCCCTGCGGTACTTCCCAAGTACCCTGAATCACCCTGTGAGGCAGGTCATGGGAACCCCACTTTACAGATGAGGATGCTGAGACTCAGGAGTTCAGTGGCAGCTGATAAGTAGCAGGTGGCACTAGAGGAGGTCTGACTCAACGGTGGCATCTACACATGCCTGTGAAATTCCCCAGCCTGACATTGCTGGAGCCTTGCACAGCCAGGCCCTCGAAGCCCCCACGGAGGGCTGGACAGGGCCAGGGCCCGGGCCCAAAGCTTTTCAGAGCTCTGATGTTCCTCCTCTTCATGGGGCAGGTCTGAATGGGATGAACAGCAGCATCTGGGAGCATTTTGCCTCTGGAAGCTTCTCCCCAGGCACTTCCCCTGCCTTCCTGTCAGGACCAGGGGCTGCTGAGCTGGCCCGGCTTCGGCAAGAGTTGGATGAAGCCAACGGCACCATCAAGCAGTGGGAGGAGTCCTGGAAGCAGGCTAAGCAGGTACGAGGCCCCCACACTCACCTGCCTCCCCCAGTGCCTGCTGGTGTCCACCTGGAGCTCATCTTACACAGAGGGGTGCAGGGGGTAGGGAAGGCCAGGGGTTCTGGAGAACAGAGCAGAAACTCAGTTTTGTTGACTCTCTCTCACTGTGGAAAGACTGGTCTTGCCAGTCAGGACCCTGGGTGGCTGGTGTCCTAGGCCTAGAAGTCCCTCTGTGAGCTGCTTGTTTGGTCTGGTCCCAGAGCACTTCTGGCCTCTCGCCAGAAGCACTGACTCTCCAGGCTCTACATCCAGGGGTCTAGGTTCTGAGATGAGCCTCTGTCCAGCTGCAGCTGGCTGCCCCTGGAGGTGCCAGCTAACATGCTGAGCTCTGCCTACTGCTCCCCTGCTGTGCTGGGTCCAACCCCATTCCCTGCCCACACAGGGTCTCCTGCAGCTCCTGAAACCTCTCTTCTCTGCAGGCAGCATCAGCCTCCTCCCTGCCCCCATCCCCAGACAGCTGACCAGCTCCCTAGCAGGCCCCACAGCCACAGTGGCCCACACAGGCTCCCGGAGATGCACTCTCAGGGGGCAGGGGGCAGGGGCAGGGCGCCACCGTGACAAGGTGCTGCGTGTTGGGCCCACAGGCTTGTGATGCCTGGAAGAAAGAGGCAGAGGAGGCCGGTGAGCGGGCAAGTGCAGCAGGAGCCGAGTGCGAGCTGGCCCGCGAACAGCGGGATGCACTGGAGGTGCAGGTGAAGAAGCTACAGGAGGAGCTGGAGCGGCTGCACTCAGGCCCTGACCCGCAGGCCCTGCCTACCTTCTCTGACCTGGAGGCCCTCTCGCTTTCCACCCTCTACTCTCTCCAGAAGCAGCTGCGGGCCCACCTGGAACAAGTGGACAAGGTCAGCCCAGGAAGTTAGGGGAGTACCAGGTTGGGGTGGGTGTACAGTGGCCTCAGCCAGTGCTTGGACTCGGATGGGTCCATGCTGCTCCAGGGATGGCCACTTTCCTTCTGAGAGTCTCTGCCCAGCAGCTGGGCCAACACAAAATGCTGCGCTGGAAGGGAGCTAGAAAGAGAATGTCAGTCATGGGGGAGGTGAGAAAACTTGAGATGGACGGGCGTCAGTGCCCACCCCAGCATTTTTGAGGGTAGGCGCTGACCTGAGCTGCATTAGTATGTCTGGGCCCTGAGTTGCTTCCTGACGGCTTCTCCTGTGAGCTTTGCACATACCAGCAGACATTCCAGAATGGGTAGGTCCCCAGGGCTACTCTGTCTGCATTCCTAGATGCCCTGCTGGGTCCCCAGGGGAGCTTGGCACAGTGGAAAGAGCATTCTTTCCTTCACTGGCATTTGGCAGTCCAGGCCTTACATGTAGCCATGTAACCTCAGGCACATCACTGCCCTCTCTAGGCCTCATTGTTCTCATTTGGGGGCCTAGGGTCACTACAGATCAAACAAGACAAGTGGAAGCCTTTGTGCGGGGAAGAGCCTGTCAGGGTGGGAGCTACAGAGCAGCCTGGCCTTCCCCCTCCCCTGCACAGGGGCTCCGACTCCCCACGCTCGGCCTTGCAGCTGAAAGCAGAAATGAAGAGCCCTGAGGCCATCAGCCTCAACTCTGACGCTGCTCTCTCCTTTGTCAGCTGGGTCCTGTGAACACACTATCAGGCTCTGTGCCTCAGTTTTCTCATCCCAAGGGGACTGGGTGAGAGTTGAGGGGAACTCCTTGTCTGATGCAGGGCCAGGCCAGCAGCAGAGACCAGGCCAGTGACCACGATGCACTTTCCCTGCAGGCCGTGTTCCACATGCAGTCGGTGAAATGCCTTAAGTGTCAGGAGCAGAACCGAGCGGTGCTGCCGTGCCAACACGCCGTGCTCTGCGAGCTCTGTGCCGAGGGCAGCGAGTGCCCCGTCTGCCAGCCTGGCCGGGCCCACGCCCTCCAGTCGTGACCCTGCAGGCCTGGCCCCGGCCTGGCTCAGATCTTCTCACCTAGGACTTTTTAAAAGTATATATATATATATATGTGTGTATATATATATATATATATATATATATGTATGTATGTATATGTATATGATTATGTATACATTTCTGTATGTGTGCAGGTGTGCGTGGGCAGCCAGTGTGTGAACAGTGTCTGTGTGTATATCTGTACATAGATATAGACACACACTTTAAAACAGACTTACCAAGCACTTTTTAAAAGAAAAAACTATTTTGCAGTCCTCCCCCTGCCCACTCCCTGCCTTTTCCACTGCAGAGACAAAATGCCCTCTTCTCCCATCGGCCTTTTGGCAGGGAATCTGTTTCTGTCTCTTTTTTATGTAGGAACTAACTATTTTTAACTTCTTCCTGGGGCCTGAGCAGGGAAGGGTGGGAAGCTAGAAGGGTCAAGGGGAGGGGGACAAGCCTTCAGGACAGGCCGTGTTCACCTGCCTGCCCAGGCCAGAGCGAGAGCCAGGGGTGTGGAGGACCCGGGGCGGACCTGGTGCCCAGCTGAGGCTTGAGGGGGTGTGCTGGAGGGCCAGCCTAGCTCCTAGGTTTCACCAAATGTGTGTTTAGTCTGGAGCTAGCAGGCCAAAGCTGCGGGGCCACTCCATTCCTGACTGTGGGCCCTTGAAGCTCCTCCAGGGGCAGCCCGAGCTCTACCCCTCAGGTTCCCGAGGCCGGGGGTTCACCTCAGTCCTCTCTCTCCGGACTCTCAGAGCAGCCACCCTGGCCCCAGGGCCACCTACCTGGCTGGCATGGCCCTCTTTGTTAACCCCCCAGCTGCCCTCAGCTGTCCCCCTCTTCTGGCACGGCCCTTGGCCCTCCGTGCTGTCTACCCCCCTCTGGCAGCTAGCAGGGCAATTGGGGAGGAGCTGCGAACTGTGAGGACCAAGGGTGGGCTCAGGCCCTGCCCTCCTCGCTGGGAGGGGCTCCGTATGCATTCCTTGGTGCTCTCTGAGTGCAGCTGACGTCCTGCCCCTGTTTGGAGCGGACGCCTGTGTGCATGTGTGTGCGTGCCTGTCCAATGTATATTGTGTTTTAGCTTCCATTTAAAAAATTGTTCTGTACAGAGAGATGTGGCAGGGGCGGGAGGGCAGAGCGGGTGGAGGGAAGCCACCCCGCTCCCAGCAGTGGGGGTCTGGGGTGGGAACAAGAGGGCTGTGAAGGTTTTGGCCCTGGCCCAGGCCCCCCCTTGGGCTCAGCACGAAAGGGCTTTCAATGAATTAAGTGAAAACTTTCTTTTTTTACAAAAATGCAAAAATCAACAAAGCTCCAAACCTATTGGAAATAAAATATGAACTTGCAGTGGTAGCTTGTTTACATGGGGGCAAGGGGGAGTGGGGCCCCGAATGAGGGCCTCTGAACTATGAGGTGGGCCAGCTCAGCTGTTGCAGCCCAGGTTCCAGCCTCACCTGGGCTGGGAGCCTGCCTCCACCACAGAAACAGCTCATGCACCCACCCCTGAGCTGTGGCTAGGCGGCCGAAGAGGCCTCAAGGCTCCTTGGCCCATTCGGGCCCAAAGGCAGCTCCAGACTCTAGTCAGAGCTTACGTGCTCTCTGACCCAGGCCTCCTGGGGTTGATGAGACGGGGACCTTTAGCCCTGGACACAGAGACCTCCCAGGCCCTACAGCTCTTCTCGTCGGCTATTGTCAGCTGCAACTGGTTCACTTACTCTTGTTTTCCAAAAGACACCAGGGTCTCTAGTTGTTTTTCAGAGGAACAAACAGTGCCTTCTCATAAATGCATTAAAAGTGAGCCCCAGAGGGAGCGTCCTGCCTTCCGCCCTGCCCCCTGAGGGATGAAGGTTCCACCCTTTCAGCCACCTCCACCTTCCCCCTTCTCTTAGCTGGCCGCTTAGGTGGGAGGAAGAAAACACACCTAGTGGGCTCTCTGTATGGGTCTCAGAGGTTCAGAGCTGAAAGGAACCTTGGCGATTCTTATCTGACTTTCTGCCCACATCGCACTTTTGCAGGCTCAGAGAAGCTAAGTGACTCAACCAGGGTCACAACAGCTAGAAGAACAACCAGCCTTCAGGCTCTGAGTCCCAACACACAGGCCACCTTCCCCCGGGCAGGGCTGGGACCCCACTCCTCTGAGCCCTGTTGTCTAGAGCAGCCACTCACCCTTGGCGTGCACCCCTCAGAGGGCCCCCAAGGCTTCATGGTGTTCTGCTAGCGTGCGAGGCCCCTGGGCTGGGCAGTGACCACAGAAACTGATATGCCTGGTAGTGTTTTATTTGGAGCCCTTGGCCGAAATCCCAGTTATGCCAGTTCCCCCAGCCCCTGCTTCTGCATCAGTTACCCCACACCCTCCTCCCTGCTGTTACGTAGGGGAGTGAGGGATGGGCCAGGCCCCAGGGTGTGGGCAGCTCAAGGGCTGAGGGCGAGGAGGGGGTTTGCATCACCTGACTAATCTGGACCCCACTGCAGGTCAACAGTATACATATTTTTTAACAAGTTTTTTTCCCTCAGAGATTGGCCCTGAGCTAACATCTGTTGCCAATCTTTTTTTTTCTTCTCTCCAACCCCCCCAAGTATGCAGTTGTGTATTCTAGTTGTAGGTCCTCCTTGTTCTGCTCTGTGGGATGCCACCTCATATGGCTTGATGAGCAGTGCCATGTCTTTGCCCAGGATCCAAACTGGTGACACCCTGGGCCGCTAAAGCGGAGTGCGCGAACCTAAACCACTTGGCCACGGGGCCAGCTCCCAACAGTATATTTTCTAAGAGAACAATGGATTGTTAGTTTTTTAATTTTTGCTAAGAAAATTTCTTAGTGATAGGTACTGTCCCAGGGAGGCCGTGTCATCAGCAGACACAGCTAGCCAAGCTGTTCTTTTTTTCTGCCCCACCGTCCCAGCCCCACTGCCTGCCAGTGCTCACTCCTTCAGAGCCAGAAGGTCCCTGGCTCTAGGCTCCTTAGCTTGGGTGCTGGTAGTCACCTCAGGAGAGGACCCAGGCTCCCTTCATTATGGCCACCATCCCTACACCGCCAGGGCAGCTGTAGCTTCATCTCTGGCGGGATCCCCTCTCCCTTCCCCAGGAGGCTTTGTGTCTGCAGGCCTGACCCCAATAGGCCCAACAGGCACAAGAGAACCTGCCCGCTCCCCACTACCCTCATCGAGTGGCTGGAACAGGCATGCCAGGAAACAGGTGGCTGAGATCCTGCTCTGCCAGAGCAGCTTTTCCCCAGGAGGGGAGCAGGGGCAGGAGATGCAGACAGCTGCCTCCCCTCCCCCTGGTGCTGGAATCTGGCAGAGGATGCTGAGGCCAGGGCTGAAGGGAGGCAGGAGGGAGTATAAATACTGCTAATGGTGCCCCCGTGACTGTGGGCCCCTGCCCTGGCAGAAGGACCAGAGAGGGGTCTGCACTCTGGGCCTTCCGTATTTGGTGCTCCCCAGATCTGCAGGCCCTTTTGGAGTGTTAGGCCAGGCTGGAGGGCTGCAGTGGGGGAGAGAACCCAGATCTCCCAAGAAAGCCCTTCCCTACCAGGGACCCAACCCATCCCCAACCTCCACTGCTACCGCCTTGGCTGAGGAGCATGCTGGGAGGCCTGCTTGGCTCGCTGCCGCCGCAGCCTCACAAACACCTGGGCCTCGCGATCACCCTTCCGGCTCTCCAACAGCTGCAGAATTGGATCCCCTGCAAAGAGAGGCGTTTGGAGGTTAGACTCGGGGAGAGGCAGTGCCCCGATAGTGTCAGGAGACATAGCACTGACCCATTCTCCAGCCAACCTGGAAACCGGTGATGGACCCATACCAGCCAAGCTCACAAGACAGCCTGACGGACAAGACTGGAGACACCCTCACTGCCTGTGGCACAACGATGCTGGCCCGGACACTCTGACCCAAGTGCAGTGTAAGAGGCTGAGAGGTGCCTCAGGGTTCTACTATTACCTTTTTATATGAGAACCCTAGGCTAGCTAGTTCACCTCTTAGTGCCTCAGTTTACTCATCTGTAAAAGCAATACCTGCCTCCTTGGGTGGTTGTAAGGCTTGAAATGGTTAACATATGTCAAGTGCTTAGAACTAGCCCATAGTAGGTGCTCAAATGTGACCTATTACTGTTATCAACCTTGGGAAATGCTTTGCAAGGAGGTGCCCCCTGGTCAGAGAGATCTGCCGCTCTCCCCAGGTAAACTTGTTGACGAGCTTCCCCACCAGGTAGAGTCACACTACACTTGACCTAGTTTAAGTGTCACTGGTCTCCTGATTAGACCGAGAAAGCCACTCAGCAACACAAGCCACCACGCTGGCTCCACTTGCATCCACCTCCGAGGACGGATTTCTCCGATCCCAACTTCGCCTCTCTGGGGGCCCCTTCCAGCACCCCCATTGCTGGGCTGGGCCCCAAACTTGCAGCCTCATGGCCTCTGCCCTGCCCGGGGGCTCAGGCCTACCATTGGGTGCAGGGTAGGTGAGGGGCAGGCGGATCTGAGGCACCTCGCCAGGCTCCTGGGTCCCAGTCAGGCCTGGCACCGAGCGCAGTGGCAGGAAGGCCTCCCCTTCCAGGTCATCAGCCCCCAGTGTGTCATGGTCCAGCACGGTGAGCAGGAGGCACGCCCCGTCCTTCTGGCATGGCTCAGCAGGCACCAGGCTAGGTGGGGGGCAGAGTCGGGTTCAGCTGCCGGCCCCACACACTGCCACTGCCACCCACTCCCACACATGGGTTCACCTTCTGGTTCTTGTGAAAAGGCCAGGGCTGGGAGAAAGAGGCCACGGACCAGGGGCCGGGGGTGATTAGGATTGCAAAGTTAGCTCTCAGCTATGACGCCTGCTCTGCCCGTGAGCTGAGGCTTTAAAACTATGGGGTCCTGTGTCCCCAGGCCCACCTGTCATGGGGAACAGAGGACGTCAGGGACAGCACCCTTCCCTGGAAGCAAGCCTCTCAGTCCAATATATGGGAGTAGGTGTGAGGCCTGTGCCAGCAAACCCTTGTGCCAGGTGACCCCTCCCTGGGCTGCAGCCAGGAGGAGCAGGCCTGAGGTGGGTCCAGGGCTGGGGAAGGGCGGTGAGCGTGGGGACCCACTCACAACTCAAAGGTCTCATCGAACAGTGGGTGAAGCTCTTTCTTGTGCTTTTGGGTCTCCCGGGGCGCCAGCTCAGGGAACTCGTGCCTGGGCTCCAAGGTCAGCTGGACAAAGGGGTCGCTGGAACCTGGCAAGTGGCACGGAGGAGGAGACACTGGCCAAGGATGTCCCAGCTGCCCGCTTCAGTCCCCACCCTCTACAGCTGTGCCCACTCAGCAGCACCGCCTCCTCCTGGAAATCCGGAGGAAGTGTACCCAGTGCTCCTGCTGGGCCAGCAGAGCCCCCAGGGACGCAGGGGACCAGAGTGGGGATGTGGGGAGTAGGCAGCCTCCACTCACCATTGGAGTCCAGAGGCAGCAGGCTGGAGGCGCTGAGCAGTTCCACACGCAGCTTCTGCTCAGACGCACTGTAGGAGGCCTTGACCGTGACAGCACCGAGCTCCTCAGAGGTGGTTTCTACCTGGGGTTTGGGGGGCAGAGTCAGCTGGGGCAGGCGGGAGAGGCAGGGCTCCAGGTGCTCAGCGGGCAGGGCAGCGGAAGAGAGCCTCACCTGCTGCTGGATGCGGCTGCAGAAGTACTTCTGGATGAGCTCCTGGCTGGAGGCTGCTTGCAGTTCCAGATCCCTCTGTAGAGCCTGGAAACGGGGCACAGCTGAAAAGTGACCTGAACTTCACACTCAACCACAGCCCAGCGTTGCCCTTCAGGAGCTCACAGCCAAGGCGGGAGACGTCAATTTGACATGGAAAGCACTGGGAGTTATGAGAGAGGAATGCATCCTCAGATTGCCCTGGCAGACAGCCAGGGGCACCCAGGGTGGGCTTCACAGGTGTGCCACCCATGCAGTTGCACAGCACCCCTCCACCATACTTAGAAGAACCACACGCCTGGTTTAATAGTCTGCTGTTGCTGTCTTAAAATTTTTAATAGTTTTTGAAAAAGGGGCCAACATTTTCATTTTGTGCTAGGCCCTGTACATTATGTAGCCGGTCCTGGACACAGGCGAGCACAGGCAGGTAGTTCCCCCCTCAACCCCCCCAGCTCACCAGAAGTCCCCTACCTGGAAGGTGGCCGTGTGCAGGGCCTCGGGCGGCAGGCCACAGCCCTCTGCGTAGAAGCAGATCTCCAGGTTCTGAGGGGTGAGAGGGCAGAGGTCGTGACCCCAGGCACTCTCCCACCAGGGTTATTATTTGTCGTTACTAGTATTATTACCTGCAGCACAACCTTCAGCCTCCTAGAGGCCAGGGGGCAGTTCCGCTGGGAGGTGGCCACCTCCGTCAGCACTGTGAGCGTGTGGGTCCAGAGCAGGGTCAGAAGGCTGGGGTGAAGTGCAGAGGACACAGGGCAGGAGGACGGGAGGGGAGGAAGCAGAGACACTCCTGAGAAAGAGGAGGGGACCCAAGCCCACCCCAAGTTCCTCCCCACGCCACCCTCCACCCCCACCTCCACCGGCTCCTCAGGAGAGGCTGGGGCCAGGGCTGCAGGCAGGCGGTGTGGGGAGGGAGGGCTGGGCTCCCGAGGGAAAGAGGACAAGCGGGGGGCGCACGGGCCAGTCCTATCCAACATGTCTCACAACCGAGCGAAGAATCCTCCTTAGGGGGATTATCAAACCCCAACAAACGAAGGTGGGGGGAGGCTGGGACCCCAGTGACAGAATCATGATTCAAGATGGGGGTGGCCAAAATGAATGGGATTTCACACAGCGTGGATAAGCATCTACCATCTGTGAGGAGAAAACATGAGCCACCAAGCCACGGTCCTCAGAACCAGCTGAAGTCACTGAACTTTCACGGGTCAAAGTAGAGTCAGGCAGTTAAGTACGTAAAAAGTGTGTGTGTGATTAAGAATGGGGGGGGGGTCTATATAACTTATTCAACATATTTAAATGCTCATTATGCACCAGACACTGTTCTGGCCGCTTTTGAGACAGTAAAGCTCCTATCTTAGTGGAGATTAAATTCTGTTCATACAAAAATCCGAGCTGAACAAATGGTATATTATGGCCTAGGGAATAAAGAAGGGGGCTCCTGTGGACCCCGCTGCACCCCTGGGAGTGGAGCAGAACTCTGGGGGGAGGAGCCGGCAGCCTCCTAGGACCCAGATCCTGTGTGGAGGACCTGTTGCTGTCATCGGTACTGTCACCAACCACTTCCTCTGTACAGCACTGCTCTCAGCACTTCACGTGACTCATTTAGTCCTCAAGAGAGGCCAGAACCACAATCATCTGCACAGAAAACTTGAGTAATCTGCTCAAGGCCTCCCACAAAGCAGCAGCGAAGCCGGAGTCTGAATCCAGGTGGTCCAGAGCCCACACCCTTGGCCTCTACTCCCTGCTGCCTGGTGTGCTGGGCCCCTGCTTTAAGAGAGACTCTAACTAGAAGTTCCCCTGGATTGTGGGAGAGGAACAGCAGTTGCCTGTAATGTTAGGAGGGCAGAGCTGCAGTCGGCAAGGCCCCGAAGATGACCCAGGGCTAAGGGAGAAAGGATAGGCAGGTTTCAGCTCAGCCTAAGATGAAGTGGGCAGGCTTGTTAGGTAGTGAGCTCCCTGTCCCTGGGAGCAAGCATTTAAGCAGAGACTGGTTGTATCCTCCCCTGAGAAGGGACGCCGAGGCCAGGAAGGCGGAGCTGGTGGGAGGAGGCGGAGGGGGTGGGGCACCGCAGGGCGGGGGCTGCTGCAGACCTGCTGAAATTCTCCTGCACCAGGTTGGTGTTCATGTAGCAGAGCTCCACCTCCAGGAACTTCATCAGGGGCAGAATGGCCTGGGGAGAGGGCCGCACATCTGGCTCTGGCCTATTCCAGTCTCACCCCCGTTCCCTTGTGCTGACCCAGGGGAGGAAATAGGGCCAAGAGCTTTTGTGTGCACCATCGGGAATGTCTGCGGGAGCTGGCCCCTGCCCACAGTCGGCTCCAGTCACAAGGGCCGCCTCTCATAGTCCCTGAACCCGCCGGGCATGGTCCCACCTCAAGGCCTTTGCCCTTGCTGGCCCCTCCCCTAGAAATCCTCAGGGATCTTTCTCATGCTTCCCTTAGGTCTGACTCAGCCGTCAATCTCTGAGTAAAGCCTCTCCCGGCCACTGTCTAAAAATACGACCTTCGGACACTTTCCACCCCCTTTTGTGTTTTATTTTTCTCTTTAGCACTTATCATGATCTAACACACCATACGTGTGTGTATACACAATACGCATACACACATATACGGATACTTATAGTCACGGCTATAGTTCTGGTCCCACACCCTTTCTCAGCTCTTCTTTCACCGCCCCCACTAGGACATAAGCTCTCGGAAGGTGGGATTTTTGTCATGGTTTTCATTGATATGTATCCCCAGTGCCTAAATCAATGCCTGGGACAAAGTGGGTACTTAAATAGCTGATGAACTCATGAATAACCTTCTCCCAAACAATCAAAGGTGTGTATTACCGTCCCCGCTGACAGAGGAGGAAACCGAGGTCAGCTGGCTTTTATAAACAGGACGGCTATGCTAGTAGGCAGCTGAGAAGGATGCAAGTCTGTTTGTCTGCAAAGTCTAAGCCCTCTGTCACTGGAGCCCCCACCCTGACTGTCAGTGCGGGGAGAGCCCGTGGAACGACCCAGCCCTGCGCCCTTAGCGTCCAAGGAGGAAAGCAAGGCCCAGGAGGGAACATTCCTTGCCCAAGTCTGGAAGGACTTATCTCTGACACCCTACGGCCTTCAGCCCCCTACCCACCCTAAGCCACTTTGCAATCCCAGACCCACAGAGCTGGCAAAGGTCAGTGAGCAGTGGGGGCCACTCACATCCTCAGGCAAGACGGATTCCCTGATGCCCACGAGTTTCTGGATGTGCGTGGCGATGCCCACCTCCAGCTGGGGACACAAAACAGGAGGCCATGGCATGAGTAGTGGGATCAGGAGAGGTCACTGGGGCCTAAGTTTACGTTCAGGAAAGGGTAGGGGCTGGACATCAGCCCAAGTCCCACTGGAGGGTTTCAGGCTGAGGATGGGTAGGGTGGGGTCACTGTGGGTCAGACAAGGTACCTGCTTGGCCAGGGTGCAGACGCCGGTGCGGATCTCGTGGCCCAGCCCAGCCAGCGCACCCTGCAGCTGGGCATGCAGCGTGTTCTGCAGCTGCCCCTGCTCCAGCACAGCGCCTACCCGCTGCTCCAGCGCCTCCCACGCCAGCTGGGTGGGCAGCTTGCCGATCACCAGCCGCAGCTGCTCCATGTCATTCACCACCACGCACAGCTGTAGGCGGGCATGGGCACAAGGATGCAGAGGTTCCCGAATAGCGCCAGGACTGGCGGTCTCTACGTCCACCCCAGCCCCCAACCCCCAGCTCTGGCCTTTACCATGTTGGCTGCCTGGCCCTGGTCCTTCTGGCCTGCAGAGAGCTCACGGGCCCGGGCTTTTATAAGGCTGCAGTACACCAGGGCGAGCCGACATGTGTCCTGGTGGGGGGAGGGGAGGATCAATGAGGGCTGCCCAGGAGGGGCAGACAGGGGGCAGCAGAGGAATGTCAGTGACTTGAGGGATTTAGGACGTGGGCTTTTGGAGACTGCTAGAGCAAGAGCTTGGGAGAAACAGGGTTGGGTGGGGATGAGGCTGTCCTAGAAAAGTGGAGAAAGACACATGGAAGACGCTGCACCTCCACGAACTTGACGGTGATCATGAAGGCCTCCTCTGGGTCAGGCCAGTCCAGCTGCCGTGCCGTGTGGCTGATCTGGGCAAAGCAGGTGGACAGATCCACAGCCGACGTGCTATGCTTGGTTAATTCACCCAGGGGCACTAGCTGGGGAATGGGGAGCACACAGAAAGGAGGGCTCAGGGCTTGCCAAAACCACACCCCTCCCTCCCTCCTTCTGCAAGCATTCAGAACTTCCACCACTGGCGAGCACAGAGCTGGGCAGGGGGCTACAGGGGGAACAAGCAAGGCTCCGCCCCCACCCCCCAGGCTGCAAGGATCAGTCTTTAAAGGGAAGCCACAGTTAACCCCAAGGATATCAAGAGGCAGCGTTTTGCACACAACTGGCCTCAGGAGCACCGCTGGACATCCTTGTGGTCCTGGCAGAGTCCCAAGCACTACCCACAGAACCGGGACCCCGCCCCCAGCCCAGGCCCCGCCCCCACCTTGTCCATCTGCACAGCTCGCTGCACCCGCGCCAGGGCCACACTGTAGGTCTTCTGCAGCCAGGAGGGGATGGCCGGCTGGAACCAGCGGTGGAAACCATCCAGGGCCAGGGCTCTGTCCCTGGGGAGAGCTGGGACTCAGCCTCAGGAAGGCAAGGGGCCAGCACGGGCCAGGGCCACAGGCTCTCCTCCACCCTCCTCTCCCCTGTGTCACTGCAGCCCGGCCGCAGCCCACCTCTCCGAGGGGATGGGGCCCAGCTGGCAGAGCTCCTTGAGGCTGATGTAGAGCTGGAACAGACTCTCGCCCAGCTCTGGGGACACAGAGCCACTCACTGCCGCCGTGTGGTCCTGCACCCGCTTGGCCACCTGCGAAGGGAAGGTGAGGCAGGCAGGGCTCCTGAGCCAGGGCAGAAGGTGAGCCTGGAGACAACGGGAAAGACTCACCAGCCACTGCAGCTCCAGGAAAGCCGTGGAGAAGAGGTCGATCTTGAGGGCGCTGGAGGAAAGGCAGTGGGGTATGACCCAGTGCACACACCGGGGTCCCTCTGGTCCCCGTTCTGAGCCCCTGCCGCACTACCTCCCAACCGGGACAACTGCTCACTTGTGGAAGATCTTGTTCCATGTGCGCTGGCACTGGTGCAGGTCACCAACGATGTCCTGTACCAGGTTCAGCAAGGCCTTGCCTGCCTCCAGCATGCCCTGGCAGGGACAGAGGTGGGCTGAGCAGGGCTTCAAGGGGCAAGCACTCCACCCACCACCCACCATCCTGCCTGTGCCCCCTCACCTGCACCATGGGCTGATGGTGCTGCTGCTTCAAGTGGAACCATTCAACAGTGCCAGTCTGTGGACAAAGAAGCAGTGAGCAGGGAGGGGTCGCTAGGCCCCGGGACATGCCCTCCCCATCCCCAGAGTGGGTACCATACCCGCAGGGCCTCGGTCACCAGGCGGGGCAGTGGGGTGCTGTTGGGGCACAGTTCTCCAAAGGCCTTCATCTTGCACATCTGTACCAGGACCCTGTGGAGACAAAGAGCTGTATCCAGAGACCCCCCGATTCACTCCTCCAGTAGGCTTCCCGACCCCTGCAGGTGCCCCAGCTGTTCCCTGGTCCCTGACCCCAGTGAGGGAGGGGAAAGGGTAGTCACTGACCTTAGAAGAGACTGCAGTCGGGCCGGGGAGTCGGAGACAGAGAGGGGGAAGACAGACCGGAATCTCCGGATGAGGGAGAGGCCATAGGCCAGCAGGGAGCTGAACGAGGCGGCCAGCTCTTCCAACTGCAGGGCCGGGAAGATGCTGTGAGGTGGGAGCTGCGCTCCCTGAGCCCTGTCTGCCCACACCCCTCCCCCTGCTCCAGCCCACCTGTTCTGCCTTGAGGCGGCCCTGGATCCACTGGTACTCAATGCTGGTGATGGGGTGCAGGAGGCAGCTGCTCGGGAACTCCAGGCTCTGGTAGAGACGGCTGTAGGCCAGCCACTGCCTGCGGCAGACAGGAAGCCCTCAGCCTGGCCAGATGGGGCACCTCCCTTCCCACTGCTCGCCTTGACCTCAGAGGAGGGACGGGGCCTCCCCCTGTCCCAAAGCCTCCTCTGCTCCTGTGGATCCCCATCGACCGCAGAGGCCGAAGGTGACCTGCAGGAGATTTTTTGCTCCCATAGGTGCTTTCCAAATGTATACATTAATCACCCATCTCTTAAATTAGGAAATTTGTGATTTAAAAATTCAAGATTTTTTGCTTCTTTTGAAGAATCAGATTTAGAGACATGAGGCTTCACGCACAGGTGGCAAACATCAGCTGGGACTTCCCTTTAGACAGTTCGGGGGAGACTTCACGGAGCTGAGATGAGGCTCGAGTGGGAGGGCGAAGGCGGACGGGGGAGGAGAGCAACCCAGCGGCAGGCCTTGGTCCCGCTGGGAGTCAGCGGCTACAGGCACTGCATGCATGGGCCCTATGGGCAAACTGGGCCCTTACCATCTGCTGCCCGCTCCAGCCTCACCTGCGTCCCCCTACCTGGCCAGGAACACTCACCTGCCCACGGTCCTAGGGCTGCCCTTCTCCCCCAGCCTCCTCCGCCCCCAACTCACATGCCAAGTGTCAGCCCTGGCCTGGGGTAGCTCCCACTCTCCTTTATCCTCCTGGCCAGCACTCGGGTGTGCCCCAACTTCTGCTCCTCACGGGCACTGACATGTCTGTGAACTCACAGGTGCCCCTTCCTGGCATTCCCACCATCTACTGTGGCACAGGGGATGTGACAGGCCCTCAACACGGATTTGGTAATGTCGGTGCATAATTTGTTGACTGGAATGCAACCGGGAGGCAGGGCTGGGAGCCAGGTCAGGGGTGGCAAACTCAAGTGCCCAGGGGACTCAGTGAGGTGAGGGAGTGAAGTAGGCCCGACGGCAACTGTGATGGACTGGGGAGGACACACTGCTCTGCTCTGACCAACTGCAGCCCAGCAAAATGACAGCCTTGTGATTATTCCAGCACTAACGTTTCATGAGAAGCTGGAATGTGAATCTGTACGGGAAATCTCCAGATTTTTTTTTTTTTTTTTGGCAAGGAAGATTGGCCCTGCGCTAACATCTGTGCCCATCTTCCTCTATTTTGTATGTAGGATGCCATCACAGCATGGCTTGATGAGCGGTGTGTAGGCCCGCACCCGGGAGCTGAAACTAAGAACCCAGGGCCACCAAAGTGGAGCACATGAACTTAACCACTGCACCACCAGGCCAGCTCCAAAATCTCCAGATTTTTAAAAGCTGGCAACTGACTCAAAACTTAAAACATACAGTTTGGACCAAACAGAAACCTCTCAAGAGTTGGTCTTTGGGCTGCCAGCTTGTAGGGTGGCAGGCAGGGAGAGAGGGTGGTGCCCCACAGATGGCCCTCCCGAGAGTTCTGCTGGGCTGCGCACTCACGCCATGGACTGGTGGAAGTCTGACAGGTCCTTCTGCGTGGCGTGGAGAAAGAGGATGGTGGCAGCCTGGGGACTCAGCAACCCATCCCAGGAGGTACTGCCAGCCTGAGGGCACAGGTAGAGAGGTGTCAGGACCTGGCAGGCAGGCCCTGGCCCCACGCAGCCCTGGGAGGGCAGTACCTGGTGCTGGGTGACCTCATGGGACACGAGCTGCTGCAGCAGATGGAGGTGCACCGTGTAGCTGGGCTGGGAGCGGCTGGCCTCAGTGGCTCTCTGAAATAGGGCCAGCGTGGCTGTGAGCAGAAGAGCCCCCACCCAGTATAGCCCATTCTCTGAGCCCAGCCGGGCCCCTGGGAAGCCCTGACCCCAGACCTACCCGCTTATGAATGAGCTGGAACTGGAGGTGGCACTGGCCGCGGTCCGGGTAGGTCTCGGTGCAAGGTTCCAGGGGGTACCACTGATCCTCCCGGCAGTGCAGGTCCTGGCAGGCGGGCAGGCAGGACAGGCCCACACCCGTGAGCAGCATGCGCCTCACATCATTGGCGGCAGGGGAGGCAATGGGAGGCCGACCCCAGGCTCTGCTTGAGGCACACTCGGAACCCCTCCCCCAAGCCCCTCATAGCCCCTCCTCTCTCCTGGGCCCCTTTCCCCACCCTACTCACCTGTAGCCTCAGAACCACGTTCCCCAGGAAGTCATCCTGGCCTTTGTCCTTCCGGGCCTCCTTAAAGATCCTGTTCCAGGAAGGGTCCCATGAGGGAGTGGGCCAAGAGGCTGAAGAGGTCAAGCTGGGATCTGCCCCCACCCGTCTGCGGCCACTGGAGCCCAGAGAGAGCCTGCAGCCCAGCAACCACTGTGCATGTAGGGGAGGAGGGCAGAAGGAGCCCCCACTTATTCCCCGGGAACCCCAAGGCCCTCACCTTCGCAGCCCATGCAGATCTGTGAGCTCCCCAAGCTTGTGTCTGACAGACTCCACGGTGTCCATGTCCCTGATGGGGCAGAGGTTTGTGCAGGAGGCAGAGACGTGGTGTCCTCAGAGCCCCTGACCCCATTCTCTTCCCCCGACCCCTACGGGCAGGGCATGTCCCTCACCACATGTCCAGATGAAAGCTTGCGTTGCTTATATCCTCAAACTCTCTGAAGGGAGGAAAGGGCATGGCTGAGGGCCTTGGAAGGATAGACCTCCCGACCATGTCCAGGCTGCCCCAGTCGAGAGCCTGTCCCCGAAAGCTGTCATCCCCAATATCAACCACAGTGGAGTCTTACCCCTCCCTACCAACTCCTCTTCCCCTCCCAACTGCGTCTCTCTCTTCTTTCAGGTAAGGCTTCAGGCTACCCCGACGTCAACCCAGACGTATCCTACCTTCCACACCCCCCAGCACATGTGGCATTTATACCATTGCTTTGTCCTGTCTGGCCTCCTGTCTCCCCTGCCTCCAGAGCAGGCTCCTCCTCCAGTCAAGCCAAGCCCCTCCCCTGAGCCAGGAAGTCCTGCTGATCTCACAGACTGGGGGACCCCCTACCACCGAGAGTAGCCATGGACGGGGTAGGGGCTGGGGCAGGGCCACGTACAGGATGAAGGTCTCGTCCCAGACAGGGTTGAGTGTCTGGGTGACGACCTGGGTGCGGTGGGTCTGCTCCTCTGGAATGGTGTGCCTCACCACGGCCTTCTGCCGACGCCGAGACCCAGGGCTGCCCCCGGGCACACCTACCCCCTGCTCAATGCCCAGCAGGCAGTAGGGGTCACTGAACCCTGGGAGGAAGGAGAGGATGAGGCAGCCAGGGCGTTGGCTGGGCTCCCTGGGAGAGTCCTCATCACCCCCCACCCCAGGGGCAGAGTCCCTCCCCATCCAAAGGCAAGGAGTGAGTGCTGGGGGGCATCTGGGAGATGGGAGCTCCTGCTGAGAGTTCTGGGACAAACTGTGATGGGGAGAGAAAGGAGAGCAAGGAAGAAGGTCCTGAGGGCCCTCCACCCCCTACTCACCACTGACATCCTTGCCCAGAATGCCCTTGGCCTGTTTCACCGTGGCCTTCAGACAAAATGTTGGCTTCTAGAGGGAGAGGGGGAGGCGCTTGAGTCCCAGAAGGGGCTGGGCTTCCCAGCCCTGCTCCTTGCCCAGCATGGCCCAGGGTTACCTCGAGCTCCTGGACCTGCTGCAGCATCTGCTGGTGCTCTTGAGGCTCCATGTGGAAGGCCTGATGGGGTAGGAGAGTGGGAGGCTTGGGGCACAGAGTGGGGGCCGCCAGGCCAGGAAAAAAGGCTGTAGGAAGGCAGGTGGGGTGGGGGCTGGGCTCACCTCCTGCAGGTATCGCAGCAGCTCAGAGGCCTCCCTCACATGGTTGGGCTCAGGCTGGCCCAAGCGGTGCAGGACCGTGTAGAGAGCTTCCTCGTAGAGCAAGGCCCGCTGAGACACAATAGGGTCACCGCGCACCGCCACAAGGTCTGAGCGCCCCCCGCCACCCCTGGCACCAACACTACATGCCCATAGGGACAAGACGAACAGAGGTTCAGGGGAAGGGAGCCGGTTGAGACCTGGAAGGTCCTTCCCAGGCTGCTGCCATCGGCCTCAGCCAGCAGCTGAGGGGGTTGTCCAGGAGGATGCAGGGTTGCTCCCCAGCACCTCTCTCTGCCCTCCAACACTCCGATTCTTACCTCCTCAGGAGAGAAGTGGTGCGATGGAGGCTCAATCTGGGGAAAAGGTGAAAAGACAAGGTGTCCCGGAGGCCTAGACCGGGGCTCAGACACAGGAACAGCTCCTTGCAAAGCAGGCCCAGGCCCAGGCCACCGGCCTCCAACCCCACCAGTGCCGCAGACCTGTTCCCACAGCAAGCCTCCTGGGGCTCCAGCCCCCAGGCTACCGTCCTCATCCCCTGGCCTGCCGTGGCTGAGGTCCATCGGCGCTCAGCTGCCCCAGCAGCACCCGTGGCCCCAACCTCCTTTCCTTCCCCAGAGGAAACAGCACTGCTTATCAGGCAACCACGCTCTGCACCCCAGCGGCGGAAGTGAGGCCCAGCAGCGGAGGTGGGAGACTGGCGGACATGCCGAGGAAGCCTGGGGGCTGCTCAGCTGGTCCCCAAGCAGCCCGGCCACAGCAAGGACACTCCCTGCCTAAGGGGGCCAGTGCCTTTGAAGCTGGAGGAACAGAGGCCGTCGGTCCCACCAAAGGAGGGGCTCAGAGAGGCTCAGACCCTGGACCTGAGGCCCAGACGGGCCCAAAGAACACATGGCAGACCCTGCTTTGGTGACCCAGAAGGCTCTGCCCAAGGGCTGGGACAGGTAGAAGAGGGGACCACATCCTTAGCCCCAGCCCATTAGAGGTGGGGCCCCGCACCCTGAGACTGCACCCTGAGACCACACCCCGAGACCACAGAGCCCAACCCAGGCTGGCTCTTCTCCCATTGAGGTCACTCCTACCTCTTGAGCCCTTTGGGGCAGGGGATCCTGCAGATCTCCGACCCGGCCCCTGCGGTGCCTTATCTTGATGGCCTGGCGCAAGAGGGGAGGGCGCCGTTTGGGCTGGGAGAGGAGTGTCGCCATGGTGGCCTGCTCTGCCCTTCCCCTCTGCGGGGGCCCTCTGTGCTGGGTGAAGATAGTGAAGCCACAGGATTATGCAAAGAGCCCAGGCCTGCCACCCTGTGCCAGGGGGGGCAGGGGGGCGGGGGGTAAGCTGGTGGGAGGAGGGTCAGGTCAGGGTTTCACCACCTCGGAGGCCCCAAGGCCCCGAGGCCCCGGCTCCCAGGCTCCTGCACCTTTCTCTCTCCCACTGGCTGGGATCCTGGGAGGATCTCTCCCAGGCTGGAGGCAGAAGGTGGACCCAGTGGGCGGGTCTGGCCCCACCCCACCGTCCCACAGAGGCCCTGCACCCAGCTGTGTGAGGACTGAGGAAAGCCAACCTGGCTGGTGGGGTTCTCACCCACAACCTTCCCTGAATGGGCCCCAGACCTGGGGTGGGGTGGGGTGGGCAGGGGACAGGGTGGGTGCTCCAGAGGCGACTCCCCAGCAGGCAGCCAACTGCTCAGCCTGTTCTGCCCCACAGGTGACATTCCACTGAGGTGACAGGGCCAAGCTGTGCTGGGCGGGGACGGCCCTAAAGCCTCTGCCCCCACAAGGACTGTCAGGAGGGTGCTCCCTTCAAATGCCCTTGTAAGGGGGTTAGCCAACTCCAGGAGCTCCTGGGCGGGGCAAGCCAGAAGGAAGAGGCGAGGGAGGCGGTGCTGCCTAGCCTCCCCTGAGAGGGCCACTTGGTCCAGAAGGGACAGGAAAACGGACACTTCAGGGCTCAGCTTTCTGATGGCCACGCCCATGGCCTTCTTCCAGGCCAGGGCCTAGTTGGGAGGGGCCACAGGCCTGGGCATGGACTTTGGCTGTTTCCTACCCTCCCCTGCCCCTGAGCACTGGGGCTCACAAGGAGGGCAGCACCGGAGCATGCACTGCAGGGGCCAGCCTGGCCAGAGCTGTCCCGGGCCAGGCTTCACAGAGGCGTCCCTCTTACAAACCCCAACACGCTCCTCTCTCTGACACCTCCCATCCAGACCGGGGCCAGGGCTGCACTATGAGGCACTGACACAGGAACTCATGTCCAGCTCTCCCACCAAGCAAAAGAATCGCTGGGCTGTGCCAGGCCCCAGGGGACTCCGTGGGTGGGCACAGTTGCTGAGCAAGTGCCCGGGAATAGAGACTTGAGAGGCCTTAGCATCCTGGGCCCAAATGGGTCGTGAGAACAAGGGATTCTGACATGGGGAGGGAACACTGCCTCCCTCCCCCGGGGGCCCTCAGCAGCGACAGCTCTCCTTCCCAAGCGCTCACCTCATCATCACACACAGAGCCAGACAAGGTCCAGTCACTTCATTTTTACTACTTCACATTTCCAGCAAACAAATCAAGGTGCAAAGAGGGTTTATTTCACATTAATATATTAACTGGATTTTTTTTGTCAAATAAATAGGGAATTCTCTTTAAATAACCATCTCCTCACTTCATGGCCAGTCCAGGAGCAAATGAGAGCAAATTTTAGTGCATCCAGGGGACATATCGCCAACCAGGCATGAAGCTTAAAGGGAAGAGGGCAGGCTGAGGGGCTGGGGAGAGGTTATGGTCAGCACACAGGCCCAGGCCAGGCCCCTGGAGTCAGGGGTTTGTTCCCAGCCTGCCCAGCAGCCCCCAAATGGCATGGTGGGATGGACATGCATTCTCCAGTTCCAGTCCAAGAGGCCTCTTCTAGAGGGAAAAGAGAGAAGGCAAAGGGAACCAAATTCCAGAAACACCAGCAGGGAAGCAGGGGCTCCTTCCCCCAGCCACTGTGGCCTGACCCTCATGCCACCCAGCCCCTGGCAGCTCAAGGTAAAGCTCCCAAAGTCCCACAGTGGTGGCCACAGAAAGCAAGGACAGGACAGAGAAGGGAAGGCATGTATGACTGGGCTGGAGGGCGGCTAGGAACTGAATGTGGGCTGACAGTCCGGTGGGAAAGTGGCTTCCTGGGCGAGGCGCAGACCAGAGCGGAGGGAATGTGAGGGGGCCTGGCAGGGCCCTCGGGAAGACACGCAGCTGGTCCAACGGGAGCTCGGGAGGCTGAGTATAAAGTGGCTACCAAAACGAGGAGCTGGACTGCGGTGGAGGAGGTGGCCAGAGAGTCCCTCCATGGGTAGAAGTTGCTAGAGCAAGCCGGGAAGGAGGGGGATGCCCCGCGTGCCCAAGGAGAGCCCAGCAACGGTGGGAGGGAAGTGCGCTGAGCAGCGCCTGGGCTGCGGGCTGGGTGGGAAGCTGGGAGGCACTGCTCCCGAGTCAAGGGCCCCTCCTTCCCTCAACGCTAGTTCCTGGTAAGTGTTTTATCATCAGACCTGGAGGAAGAACAAGGCCCCCTCATCACAGGCCCAAGCCCAGACTGGGCCCCAAGGGGAGGGAATGAAAGAGTGATGAGAGGTGGGAGGCAGGGGGTGTGAGGGGTCTACTGGGTCTTCTTATCTTCTGGGGGGTAGTAGGGAGGTGGCGGAGGCTGGCTCTAAGGAAGAAAGGAAGGAAAAAGATCACATTAGAAGGTTCAAAACAAGACAAGGTCTCCCCCGCCCCTAAATCCCAGCACACTGTGGCTGCGGGGGTCCCTCTGGCACCGTGGCCACCCTGCTCACCCCCCTCGCTCACCGTGGGCATGTAGACGTTGTGGGGGTTTCCTGGGTTGTAATAGGCGCTGGCAGCTGCTTCTGCGGCCTTGGCTTCGGCTGCAAGAGCAAACACACTCAGGATGAGCCCCAGTGACAAGCTCTCCCCTCCTCTTCCAGCTGTCCCTGGAGCTGCTCTCAGCCCGCTGACCCTGGCCCCCCAGCGCTCAGGGTGGCTGCTGCTGAGCATCTAGTTCCATCAACAAAACTGGTCAAAATTTCCTGAGCACTGACCATGCGCTACACTGTCCTTGCCAGTCTCTGTACCCCTCTCCCGCTCTGAGCCTTACAGCCCAACCAGGGGATACTGTTACCACCTCTTTGTGGATGAGAAGACCCAGGTGCAGAGAGACCTTTCCAGCCCCAGGGCACACAGCTGGCGAAGGGACAGAGTGTGGGCTGGGACCACACAGTTGGTCCCTGGGGACAGTCCCTAGCCCAGCGGTCATTCATCATTTGGGGCTCCCATGCAACCACGGGGAGGAGAAGGCTGGTCCCCCAGGACTGCCAGCAGCCCAGAGGCCTCACCTGCAGGAGTGGAGGGAACATCAGGGCCGCTGACCGGAGGTTCCATGGGCCCAGGGTAGGGCGGTGGCGGGGGCTGCACATATCCCATGGCCCCGTCCATCATGGGAGGTCCCGGATAGAACTCTGCTCAGCGAGAGAGCGACAGGGACCCAGTGAGCAGCCCAGCCCAGCGCCCTCAGCAGGCACCCTCCGAGGCCTCTCCAGTTTCTCTGTTAGTCTTGAAGCAGGTCAAAAAACAAGTCTCCCCTCTACAACCCCCTGGCCTGGGTGGGGTGGTTAGTGGGTGGGTGGTTGGGGTTAAGGGGTGGGCAGCAAAGGACACACTCACCAGGTGGGGGCGGTGGATAGGGGTAGCCAGGAGGGCAGGGGTACATTCCATTGGCGACTGGCGGGGGAAAGACATAGGCCCCGCTGGGCATGTAAGAGTACCCATAGGCTCCACTGGGGGCTTCACCTCGAGAGGCTATAAGTACAAGGGGAGAGAGAAATGAGTGTCGCCTGCTTCCGGGGCTGGGGAGAGGGCGGCCCACTGCCAGCTGAGGGGAGCCACAGGGTCCCAAGGATGTGCACAGCAGACATGCCTTAACCCCCGTTCCACTCCCCACCCACTCTGGAGGCAGCCTCAATCAGGATGAGGCGAGGGGTCCAGATGGGGACAGAGGTCAGAGCCAGGGCAGGGGAGGTCAAGGACAGGGGTGGAGGGAAGGAGGGCAGTTCAGGGATGGGGTAAAGAGTGGAGCCCGGTAAGGTGGGGGACAAGGTGAGGATGTCTGCTGAACACGTCCCTTGGTGATTTAAAATGGCTGTCGGATGGTGGCTTAACGGCTGGGGTTTTTGTTTGTTTTTATGAGTCCACAGTAAAGTGTCCTTGAGTCCAAACAGCTTTGTCAAAATGTCCTATACCTGCTCCAGGCAGAGGAAACCCAGTCTCTCAGGTACAAGACAGAGCCGACGCTAATTACAAGCTTCCTTCCCAACTCCCAGCCCCAGTGAGCCCAGGGCCCAGACTCATCTCTTGAGTGCTTAAAAAACAAAAGTAAACAAATTCAAACAAACAAAGAAAACACCACACACATTCAGTGCGCCCTTGGCCCCTAATTTTTAGAGCCTTGATACCTTGAGACGCCACCTGTAGCATCCTTTGTCCAAACTCGATGGCACCCCCTGCCATAAAGGTCAACTTGTACAACGCAGAGCCTTCCCAGCCACCTGAGAAGGGACAGTGCATCCACAGCTCAGGAAAAGAACAAGAGTTACACGCGAAGAGATGGGTGAGAGATGGCCATCTGTTCTCTCCAGGCCCATCCAATGCCCAGGGACCTGTGGGGGAAGGGCTGGCCCTGCAGCGCCCCCTCCCTCCCCGGGCTGCCTCTGGCCTGTGGCCCACACAGCATGCCAGCACCGCAGACTGGCCTGCCTGCTGCCCACGCCGGCTTCACTCTTTGGAACAGGGGGCTTTTCCTTCCTGGGACAAACTTGTCCTCTCATCCCCAACCCTGTAAGTACGTCTGTGCTAGGGCCTCCCATCTCCAAAAGGCAGCGTCCCAGGAGAAGGCACACTCCGCTGCAACTGACGTTCAAGTTCAGAGCAGATCTCTCACCCTGACGGGGCCTAAGGACAGAGCTCTGGGCCCTCCAGCCTGGCTTCTGCCAAAAGGGAACTGTGAGCTCCTCAACAGCAAGGCCGGGCCTAGCTGGGTGAAGGGGGAAGGCGAGTTTGACACAGAGGTCCCTGGTATCTGCGAAAGAGTCTGCCACGGAGCAGGGCCCCTCGAAGAGTCCAGAGGGGCAGCTGGCTCTTCCTGGCTCTAGGGAGAAGGCCCTTCTCAAGAACCTAATACAGTTGCTACCCACACCTAAAATCTGAACACACTCCCCAAGTCACAATAACCATCCTTACTTAGTTTACAGTCATTTTGCTGATTTCTCTCTCTCTGAAAAGTGATGTGAGCTGCCATCTTTGTGTGTGTGTGTGTGTGGTGAGGAAGATTGGCCCTGAGCTAACATCCATTGTCAATCTTCCTCTTTTGGCTTGAGGAAGATTGTGACTGAGCTAACATCTGTGCCAATCTTCCCCTATTTTATGTGGGATGCCACCATAGTGTGGCTTGATGAGTGGTGCTAGGTCTGCACCTGGGATCCAAACCCATGAACCCAGGGCTGCTGAAGCAGAGCGTACAAACTCAACCACTACACCTCCAGGTAGGCCGCTGAGCTGCCATCTTTAATGCCAGCATTTCCCAGCTCTTGGTAACTAAAACCCCACCCCTGCTGAATAGCTGGCAGCTCAGATGTTGGTCTTAGAAGCTAATCCAGAGCCAGGAAGAGGCCAAGGCTAGGGTGATATTGGTCCAAAAAGGACACCTTCAAGGCAGCAGTCAGAGGTGCCCCAGAGTACCTCTTTGGAAGCCCCGTGTGTGTCCCTGTGCCCCCTTGTCACCAACCTCCTGCTTCGGCCTTCACTGTTCCCTTGATGTAGTTTGCACCAAACACAGGTTGCTTAATCTCACAGTCCTTCATCAGATAGAAAGGCATCATAAAGGACTGCATGGCATCCTTCCCCTTGGACAGAAAGATGACCTGCAGGGAGAAAGAGAAGGGCCATCATCACCCAAATGACAGCCCACTCAGCCATCACTTCCTGTGTATGATGAGCCTGCTCTCAGTGCCGGGGTGGGCAGCCAAGCAAGAGTCCAACAGGCCCAGAGCTCTCTGCACCAGACAGTCCCAGAGAGAGCTTTTGTTTTTGTTTTGTTTTGTTTTGTTTTTGAGGAAGACTGGCCCTGAGCTAACATCCGTGCCCATCTTCCTCTACTTTCTATGTGGGACGCCTACCACAGCATGGCTTGCCAAACAGTGCCATGTCGCGCCCAGGATCCGAACCGGCAATCCCCGGGCCGCTGAAGTGGTACATGCGCACTTAACAGCTGCACCACTGGGCCGGCCCCCAGAAAGAGTTTTTTAAAGTAAGAGGCCTTACATGCAGCCTGCCGGGGAGGACAGACATGTAGTCACAAGAAAAACATGTCGCTCACAGACAGTGTATGTGAGAAGGACTGACTGCTCTGTCATTTGGGTGGTGGTGAGGAGGTGGCGGATGTGGTGTGTAAGTGAAGGGGCCTGCAAAGATAGGGCAGAGAGGCGGGGCAAGGCAGGCAAGGTCTAGGGGCAAGGGGGAGGTCCAGCCTGAGCTGCGCAGAACTGAGAACCAGAGTGGCAGGGGCGTTAGATCCTGGGAGAAGGGGCCGTCGACATTGGCTGCAGACTCCCTGCCCAAAGAGCAGCAAGCGCCTCCCAGGCCGTGCTCGCAGAACCTTCTGTTTTAAACCCCCGACTTCAATCTGTGGCTGGATGCCAACCTGAACCACCAGAGAGAGGCTTTTGAGATGCCCCTCCCTCCGCTGAGTCCTGATAAAACTGGAAGATGCGCTCCTCTCTTCCAACCATCTTTAAGTCTAACTTGTGGGCAGCTACAGACAGCGATCCTTTTCTAAGAATACCCATTTGTATTTCTCTGGAAGTCTGTCGGAGTCTGTCTGCATAACTCTCAGGCGAGGCCCGTCCACAGTCTCTCTCTGCATTTCCCACTCTGCAGGGTTTTGCCGGGCTCTCTGCCGAGTCCAGAGGCTGTGGCCATGCCACCGTATCCTGTTTACCACGTGTCATTCTGGATGTGCACAAAGGCCTCGTGGGCTACTCCTACAGAAATCAAAATAATAACAGCCTCTCCCCTCCAGGCTTAGGTCAGCCCAGCAGCTGCATCCAACCATGTATTTTGGAGCACTAGCTCTGGAATGTGCATGGATTCACTGTCCAGAGGTCAGTTCAGCTGCACGGTTGTGGTTCTAGAACCCAAGAACACGTGACAGAGAAACACGTGGAGTGAGGAACTGAGGTCCAGCAGGGTTTGGAGGCCACTGGCCTCACGAGGCTGAGGCCAACCTAAGACTCATGTCAAGCCCCAGGAGCCATGAGCCTCCAAAGGCAAGCAATGCGCTGTGTAACTCACCCGGTAAGGGGTAAGGTAGACGGTGCCCTTCTTGGTCCCTTTGAAGGCCTCTGGCACATTCTTCATGTCATTGAACGTAAGTTCTACATGATCATACGACATTAGGATGCTGTGATGAGAAAAGAGGAAAGGCCCTGATGAGACAGTGTGGAGTCATAATCTGTTACCCCCAGGGCGTGGGTGCCCATTAGCATGTTAGTTAGTGGCCTGGCATGTCGTCTCTTCTGTTTCAACACTGCTGCAAGAAAACTATTAACACAGCCATGGAAGAGATGAGCAAGTTGGGGTTCTGCAGAAGTCCCCCAAACCCCACTCATACAGCCCCCAAGTGACCAGTGCGGTAGAGCTGCGAGGCTCTGGAGACGCCATAATCCCTCACATCAGGTTAGATTATCCGGCTTAACTCTTCCACTTTCTTTTTTTTTTTTAAAGATTGGCACCTGAGCTAACATCTATTAGCCAATCTTTTTTTCTTCTTCTTCCTCTTCCTTTCCCCAAAGCCACTCCAGTACATAGTTGTATATTCTGGTTGCAGGTCCTTCTGGTTGTGCTATGTGGGATGCCGCCCCAGAATGGCCTGATGAGCAGTGCCATGTCCGCGCCCAGGATCCGAACCTGTGAAACCCTGGGCCACCGAAGCAGAGCGTGCGAACTTAACCAGTCAGCCACAGGGCCAGCCCCATCTTCCACTTTCTTTTAAGTCCTTATCATAGGTGTTCTGTTTTTGTTGGTTTGTTTCTTTAAGCCTAACATATAAACATTTTAAGACATGACTCTACACATTACACAAGGGTTTACTTTGGGGTTCCTAAGTTGGGTCTGCAGGATGTCAGTTCATGAAGCCCTTGAGATAATTGTATACGTGCATTTTTCTGGAAGAGTCCATGCTTTCATCGCCCTCAAAGGGGTTCATGACTGGAAGGGTAAGGTTTTTACTCTTTTACACATTTTACACATCAAATTTTAAATACTGAATGTAAATGTAAACTTCAATTATTGTCTACACAATTTTTTCAGAAATGAGGCTGAAGCATTTTCTGAAACGGGGCACATCGTTATTTAGCAGCAGTGAGCCCTAAACCAGGTAGGAGCAGGATAAATACATTCTTGTTCCAGAAAAGTCGCTCTGAGAGAGAAAGAAAATGGTCGCAGGAGATGCTACCAAATGTCATCAAAAGGGTTCGTCAGCGCCCAGGACGGTTTGCACCCAGAGAAGCTACAAATGAGGAGCAGTGTGAGGCTTCTCTGATTATAAGACAAGGTCCAAGTTCAAATGGTTCCATTTGTCTTTTTCATCCTCCCAAATATCATAACTTTCTTCACTGGGGAGGGGTAAGTGAAAAGAGAACCAGAAAAAGAGAAGAACAGCTCAGAGAAACGAGGTCATTACCAGGAACAGGCTGGTCTGGCAGACCCTGAGCAGGTAAGATGGAGGCAAAGTCAGCATCCTGAGATCAGGGGCACCAGAGGCGCTCGCCTCTGACTCATCGAGCATCCCTGGGTGACAGGCCCCAGGCTGGGTGCTGGCCTTAGCCAGCTACAAGGCTCTGATTGCAACAAGCCTCCTCTGGTGACTCAGGTTCCTGCTAAGCTCTTTCTGCCCTCAAGAGGCGCTTCAGGGTAAGCATAGCTCAACCAGGGAGGGCTGCTCTGATTCTCAAAGCCCAAGGAACAGGAGGAGAGAGAAGCCATCCAAGGAGCCCAGAGGTGGGAGGACAAACAGAACTGACTGGGGGATGGGCAGACAGAACCCTGAAGTTGAGAGACCTCTGCTGTGGGGAGTGACCAAAACCAACAGGCATTCAAGAGAAAGAGACAAGGGACCAACCTGTACAAGGACTGACACTACGCCAAGAACTGTGTTAAGACATTTGAAGAACGTTATCGTTTCATTTCACCTCTGAGCCTCAGTTTCTTATCTGGAAACTGAGCAGTTCTGGAATATACTGGGAAGGCTATTTACTGGTAGTTAAACCTGCTGACTTTGGAGTCAAGACTCCTTTCGTGGAATTCCCCCTCTGCTACTTACAGCTCTGTGATCTCAGGCAAGTTACTTATCTCTCTGTGCCTCAGTTTCCCTATATAGCAAATGTGTACAATATCACCTCCCGCACAGGATTTACGTATTAAGGTAGAGAAGGCGCAGTGCCTGACACATAGTAACGTAGTATACGCCCAACACCTGGGAATTATTTCGGCCTGCGGCTCTTCTCATCTCTTAAAGTCACCGACCCTGGGAAACAGGCCCAAGAACTAGCCCGAGACCCCACCCATCTCCCCAAACCCCGTCCTCGTCCAGCTGCCCTCCGCGATCACATCCCACAGCGGACCCCGATCTCCAGGCCCCTCCCCCACGACCCCCCTTACTCTAGCCCCGCCCCCGGCCGCTGCCTGCCACCGCTCCCCAACAGTTTCCTTTTCCCGGAGTTATGCCCCACCGGCCACCGCCCACCCCCTCGACGTCCGCCCCTCGATCTCCCAGGATCCCCCCGCAGGGTTTTGACCTCTCGGTGTTGTTGACGATCACTCCGCCACCCTCGGAGTGATTCTTGTTGAGCGCCATAGTCTCGGAAAGGGGTCCCGAGACTCGCAACGCAGTGCGCTTGCGCTCCTCTTCGGGCCGCCCCCAGTGGCGTAGCTCGTATTAGAGTCAGCCAATCACAGCTCTTGCACAGACGCTGGCCCAACCACCTGATCCCGAGCATCACATGGTAACACAGTAGCTCCCCCTCCCCCCAGTTTCGCTTGCATCACAAAGTTGAAGACTACAATTCCCAGAAGGCAATGCTCCCTCAACCTCGGCGTACGCACTCCCCACCCCCACCCGGTCCTCTGAGGGACCTGAAAAAAGTTGGCACGTCGCAGGGGAGTTAACCGTAAAGGCCCTGGACGCCAACGCTCGTACCCACAGGATGGGGGCTGTAACCTAAACCTAGTGTCTGGAGGGCTTAACACTCAGTGGAACACCGTTCACTCAGCGACCTTTATGGAGCACTTTCCTAGGTGACTTTGTCCCCGACTTGGGTGGTCCCTGAGTCATGTAGGTGGGTGCAAGACTGAGCCTGTTGCAGGACGTGGTGGGCTAGCCGACTGACAGAGGAGTCAGGAAAAACTGCCAACCCTTTCATGAAATCAAACCCGGACTCTCTGAGGTGGGCGGGGAGAATCTCCGTGTCGGGAGGGGAGCCTGGGCCCGGCGTCCGGCGCTGATCGCCCCCAAATTCACTGTGGAGTCGGGAGCGCCCCACCTCACCGCCGCCTCCAGCACAGCTGGCCGCGCGGTGGCGCTGCACCCTCTAGAATGCTCCGGCTTTGCCGTCCGGCCCGCCCTGCAGCGTCCTGGCTGCAAGATTTGAACAAGATGCGGGAGTAACTGAATGGACCTGAGCACAATGCGACACCCGCAGCTTGCAAAGTGGGGCTGACTCATTTTAGCTTGTGACCCACCAGTGGGCGGTCCCCACTGGGAAGCTGTGGTTATGTGACCCCCGCCCCCCCCACCACCTCCGAGGGGGATCTTTAAGGGGGAATGTGAGGGTCTCACTCCACACGTGGTGATGCTGCTGCATCATTAATCTTAAGGGAGAAGAGTTTGATTTTAAGCAGACGGCTGATTTCCTGACACGTGACGGCCAACCTCGGGAATCCACCTGCTTGATTTACCTTTTTAGTTAGATTTCCTAGATGAACCATCAAAAACTAGAAAAGATTATGAAACTAGGTAACGACCTTCTGTGAGGTCTTGTGCAAAACCACGTTGGACCTGCAGGACAAGCGCAATGAAGTAGTGCGCGATAAAATCTGCCCCGAATGAATAGATTAATTTTCGCACATGCAATCTGTGCAGTCATTGAAAACAATGAAGTCAAATTAATGTGTGCTGACATGGAAAGACTGCCGAACTTCGTTAAGTATGGAGTGGTGTATAAAAAATAGGGTCTAGGGGCCGCCCGGTGGCGCAGCGGTTAAGTGCGTACATTCCACTTTGGCAGCCTGAGCTTTGCTGGTTCCGATCCCGGGTGCGGACATGGCACCGCTTGGCACACCATGCTGTGGTAGGCATCCCACATATAAAGCAGAGGAAGATGGGCATGGATATTAGCTCAGGGCGTCTTCCTCAGCGAAAAGAGGAGGATAGGCAGCAGTTAGATCAGGGCTAATCTTCCTAAAAAAAAAAATGTCTATAGATATAGAATTTGTGAAAAGATCCACTACACATTGTTTCTGGCATTATCTCACTGAGGCATGGTTCTGGGACTTGGGGTTGGCTGGTGACTCAGTGTGCTAATATTAATAATAAATTTCAAACAGAAAGGGAAAATCCAGCCGGGAATGGGTATGCAAGAATGGCTGCTCTAAGGACCATAAAAGGAACGGTGGGGCAATGATGTCGAACCTGAAGTGAGTTCGCTCACCTGTCACACAGTAAGCCAGTCTCTGACACCGGGTGTAGTGGAAGAAAGTAGGAATTTTATTGCAAAGCTCTGAGTAAGGAGAATGGGCAGCTAACGCTGTAATCCCAAACTCTTCGAAAAGCTACAAGCAGGGGTTTTTATTTGGGGTTTTAGGTTGGGGGGGGGAGATAAGGAATTTTGCAGGTGGAGGTCCTTGGCTGGCTGTCTCCAGGGTGGACTCTGGTGCCAGGAAGCCGAGGAATTGGGTCTGGGAAGCTTTGGTTTCTTGATGTTCTCTGGACATCAGCTTTCCTGTGATAAACTTCAAGAACCTGGGATTAACCACAACTTTAGTGGGAGCCCAGTGTGAGCCCACCTGGGCTTTAACAATTTGTGACTTCTGTTTGGTTGTAAAGCTCAGGGAGTCAAAGGTTAAAGAAACAGATATTTACATATGAGTGTAACTAAAGAGCAGGGAACTGGGATGAGTGCTTTTGGTTTTAACCCCATATATGCTGGGTTCGCTGTAGGGGAACCGATACCAGGGCCAGTATTAAGAACCTGTAACAGCACCAGTCCGGTCCCACCCCGACCCCTTGGCAGAACTGGGTTGGTGGCAGACACAGATGCAGGTGTTGTGGAGTCTGAAGCTCAGACAATTTTGGAGGCCCTATTTAAGAACTTAAATACACAATCATGAATACATGGAGAGAGATGGCAGGCTTAACTGATTCCTGCTCAAATGTCCAACTTTTGCAAATTTTGTGAAAACATATGACCAGATGAACACATTGTTAGGGCTGCTCCCAGCGGTGGAGGGGCCAGTTGTTTCCAGTACCCACACTGAGGGGCTCAAGGCAGTTCAATGCTGAACCAAGATGATGAGGATTTTTAGGCTGCTTAATTTTAAAATGGCTTATGATGAGGATTTTTAGGCTGGTTAGTTTTAAAACTACAGGTGAGATTCAGGCTCCAAGGAGTGGAATTTGTTTGCCCCTTTGTTGGGAAACATTTACATTTCTAAGGGAAACCTCTATCTGTGAAGATGCCTCCCTCTCTGTGCCACGAAGAGGGGGGGATGGTCTTATCTCTAGAGGCTCTTGGTCAATGCCAGAGGCAAGAACTTAAGTTGGTTTCTGTCTGGCAATCGCATGTAACTGGTTTAGGGTGGTGGTGTCTAACCTTTCTAACCTTTACTTAATCCGATTTGATTCTTGTCTAAAAGTCATGGGATCACCCAATGACCAGACCCCACCCGCACTGATACCATTTTAACTTTTTTTCATGTTCTTTCCTTTGTCTTGTAAAGAGATGAATCATATACCTATGCCTTATAAAATTAGCCCTAACCCTCAACTCGGGGCAGCAGCAGGAGCTCTGACTGCCCGTGGGTCCTGTCCCAACGCACCAGCTCTGCCTGCCCATGGGTCCTGTCCCCATGCCAGCGGGGGCAGCAGCAGTGGCTCTGCCTGCCCATGGGCTCTGTCCCCATGCCAGCGGGGGCAGCAGAACGGCGGCAGCAGAAGCTCTGACTGCCCATGGGTCCTGTCCCCATGCTATTCTATACTATTCTCTAAATAAAAGAGCACTACTGCCAGATCTTGAGAGTCTAAGAAATCTTTCTTTCGACTCCTCGGCTCTCCGACCCCGCATCACAAGATGGTGGCAAAAGGCCCTGCCTGGGCCCAGGTCTCAGTACTCAGACCTCTCCTGCCTTCTAGTCCAGCCAGTTCTGCCTGTTTCTAGAAATGATCACTTTTCACTGAGCTGTAATTGCTCCTGTTCTCCAGACCAGAGCTTCTTGAGCTGTGTGCCAAGCAGGATTATGCCTGAGATATTGCTCCCCTCACCCCAAGTCAGCCAGGTGGGGTTCAGGGTGTCTGGGCTTCTGGACTAGTCACCCTTGACCTCCAAAAAGCTCCATCTATTTGCCCCAGTGAGCAGAACAAATATCATTTGTGCTGAACACATAATCGTTTTCCCTATGTGCCACTAAAAAGGTTGGGAAGCAGTTTATCAGATGGTGGCTTTCCTTTTTTTTTTCCCCTTGACCCACAGTAAGAAACACATTTTATGTCAAGACTCAATATACACAGATGTTTATTTATAAGTGAAACTGAAAGAGTAAAAATCTGTTTGGGTCTGAAAGAGTAAAAATCAGCTCAGACTAAAATGGAAAAAAACAGCCCTGCAGTTAATCAGGCTGGGAGGAAAGACATAGATAAAGCCTGCAGCTAGCCAAGCTAGCCGAAAGAAACATGGTTTCTCCCCAGCTCCTGCGGTCGTTGTAAGATGGTATTGATGTGGGGTCAGTGAGCCGAGGAGTCGAAAGAAAGATTTCCTGGACTCTCAAGATCTGGCGGTAGTGCTCTTTTATTTAGAGAATAGTGTGGAATAGCATGGGGACAGAACCCATGGGCAGTCAGAGCTGCTGCTGCTGCCGGCATGGGGACAGGACTCATGGGCAGTCAGGCTGCTGCGTGGGCACAGGGCCCACGGGCAGGAGGAGGTGCTGCTGCCACTGCTTCTGCTGCAAACATGGATGGAGAGTATGGCTACATTTAAGGCATAGACATGTGAGCCATCTCTTTACAAGACAAAGGAAAGAACATGTAAAAAAGTTAAAATGGTATCAGTGCATCAGTGCAGGTGGGGTCTGGCCATTGGGTGGTCCCACAACTTTTAGATAAGAATCAAATCGGATTAAGTAAAGGCCAGAAGCCACCACCCTAAATCAGTTACATGAGGTTGCCAGACAGTAACCAACTTAAGTTCTTGCCTTCCGCATTAAGAGTTTCTAGAGATAAGGCCATCCCCCTTCTTCCTGGCACAGAGAGGAGGCATCTTTACAGATGGAGGTTTCCCTTACAAACGTAAATGTTTCCCAACAATGGGCAATCAAACACCAGTCCTCGGAGCCTGCTTCTCATCTGCAGTTTTAAAATTAACCAGCCTAAAATCCTCATCAGTGTGACAACCTCCTCTCTCAGCCACTGCTGCTTTCTTATCAGTGAGAACCCTAGACAGGCTTTGCAATTCCCAACTATAGTGGGCGTGCCCCAGTACCAAACTGCTCATCTCCTGACAGCACCCAGGCCTTCATTAAACCCCACTGCTTCTAATGCTTGCACAGAAACAGCCACCACTCCAAAACGGATCCTCGCTTCCCATTGTAGACTGACAAATAAAAACGGCAAGCAATAGGATATATTGGAGAATGTGAGGAAGCCATTTGGTATAAACCTAATTCGGCCTGACCTTGTCTTTC